TATTTTTTAAGTTTTAAGATTAATTAAAAATATTCTAATAAAAAATTTAATTATTTAATCTTTAACAAAATGAAGAATTAAAAAAAACACATGATTTTTTTAATCTAAGATTCTAAAACCCTTTAAAAATATTCTATTTTATTTTCTGACTCGTTTTCGATTCGGGTACTCTTTTTTATTTGGGCTACGTGCAGGTTTTACCTATTAGCCTCCTATTTACCATATAGTCAGACCACATAGTAGCCACTCTTAGCCATAAAGCGTTCATTCCTTGGCTTGCCGGTTATATTGACATGATCTTCGTGCAAGTTAAGTTCTTGTTTTTTTTTTTTTTTTGCAAAACCCCAGAGGACGGTATACAGAACGGAGAAAATCTTTATCAGCGCGGTGGAGGTCAACAAACCGGGGATAACCGCATTTAAGACTCCAGCCGTACCGCCCTCACCTGCCCCCTGTGCGAGGCTTTTTCTTTATCAGATAATGGAGCCAAAGGTAAGCATTGCGGGCCAACAGTGCTCTCAAGTGTGAGGGTAGAACTATGTGTGACTCAAGAGCCATAAACTTAGCACTAGGCTAACGGTAATGCCACTTACCATAAAACTCTATTTTTGCAATGATTTTAGACGATGACTTCATGACTTGTTTCATTATTAAATATATTAGGAATTTCTTAAAAATGGGATTCCCAGAGGAAAGTTAAATACTCAAAGAAACTAGTAATATAAAACTTGATTAGGTTCTTGGGAAAACCAAAAAACCGATAAACTATGCATAAAATATACTTCTAATTCAATTGCCGATAAGACCAAGAATTTATCATCAAATAATAATATATTCTCAATTTATATAACTCACCATAAAAACTGAATTAATCGTGCAATTTTGCACTCTTCACTCGATCCGCAACGTATTTGAGTTTCTTTTCTTGAAATTTATTTATGATGCCTTTATTTTTTTGTTATAAAAAAAGTTAATTTAAATTTCTGGCACGTTTATTATTTATTTAATTTTGCACAATTTTTGGCGCATATACAAATCAAAATCAAAGAGCACACACAGCACCACAACCACAACGAACAACCGAATCACAGGAAGCACCATCCAAACGTCACTATTTCAAAAAAAAACCTATAAAACTTTAGAATAACCGCAAAAAACTATGATATTCAGAGAGAACCAAACCGAAGGCGTCAGAAACTGCACTGAAATTGCAAAAATGGAATCGGGAAATCAGGGAATATATGGAAACGGAATCGGACGAAGCTTCATATAAATAATGAATTCACAACTACAATCACTGACCGTCTTGGATACATATGCATTGCATAAGCATGTATCTATGAGTGTTTGTATCTATGTGTTTGAATTTGAATCATAAAACTTACAAAACCAAAACTTAACTAAACAAATGTCTCGGAAAGACATCTTCCTCCACCCTTGGAAGTCTCCCATTTGAAGAAAATTTGCTGACAATTGCAAGAGAATTTTTGTTTTTGCGTTTCGCTTTCCTAGCGGAGGGGGAAGGAGGGTCGAGAGGAAGGTGTTCTTATTTCAATTTACAACCAAGTGACGAAGTATCACAATTCAATGTTTAAAGTTTTTATCACGTTGTGCGCCACAATCAAACACACACAAAACTACAGTAGAGCTTTGATTTAAAAATTTAAATAATATAATAGTAATGTGAATATTATATATTTTTGGTATAAAAATAAACAAGTATATATTATAAATTTATTTGAAATTATTTATCAAATTTCTAGCTTAAGCTTCACTGTACTTGACGGCTCTCCAGCTACTACAATAAAAGCAAACAAATGGAGCAACTGCAGCTTACTACCAAGCATCGAATGCGGGCTCTGGGGGCCAGACCGAAGGAGGTCTCTGAGGGGACGATAGGAGGTAGTTAGGCAAAACCTCACATCGTGGGGCATGGGCAGCAGCAAATCTATAAGCTCCCGGCTTGGGGAAGCAAAGCCCCCTTTTCTGTGGCTGAGCAATATGGTTAATATGGCGCGACATTTCATCCGCTGCCGTTGTGCAGCTCGTTCGCTTAGTCAGCCCGCTTTTCTCGCTTTTCTCGGAGCGGGCGGGCCCGGGCCCGGGCTCTAAATGTTTAGTAACCAACTGAAATAGTAGCACTCGTGTTAGTATCGGTTCATGAAAAACGAACAGCAGCAAAATAGAAATGAGGGGCAACAAAAAAAAAATAAAAATACAAAAATTAAACCATTTCGGTTTACATAGAGTTTCGCATGTAGCTACACGACTTGCACTTGGATTTAAATATGAATGCACAAACATACTACACTTGAGGTTAAAATATTAATGGGGTTTATAATTATATAGTAAAAAATATATAAATTAAACATTAACAAAAACCCTTCTACAATGTCAGAATATCAAAAAAGGAAAACTATCTTTGAGCTTTGGCGGTTTTGTAAAATATACTAAAAAATATAGAAAATAAATTTAAAAAAAAATTATACGTTTCTCTTTCCATAATCGTGAATGTTTTAGAACCTCGGATCCTTAAGTTCTATAACATAGTTACATATATAAAATTCTATATTAAGTAAGGAATAAGTTATATTCGAACTTTATATGATCCTTATAAAAATAATGTGCGAATCAGTTAAACCAAAGCCCTATCTTTAGGAAGCCCCAACCTTTATCTTCAAAAACGTCAATGTTGTAAGATTTCTGATTATTCCGTTTAAATCAGTTATAAGATAAGATGATAAGATCGATGAGGTATTTAGTTTAACAGAGTAGTTCCTCAAACCTAAATATATTAATTCTAATTTACTGACCACATCTGTACCTGCAGTGTCATGGGCTTGGGGGGTGGATGGGTGGGAGTAGGTATGGCGGGAAAGTAAGCAAACGACGTCAGCGTAAACTGATTACCACCGGACGATCTATGGAGCTGCATAAGCGTCACGTACATAGTGTTTTTGGACGGGGCCTGGAAGAGGGGGTGGGCAGGGGGGTGTGCACAGAACGACGGGGGCTTTGCGACCGACTATGGGAACCTTCATTTTGGGAGTTAAGTTCGCCAACGGGCCGAGACAGAACGACTCTAAAAACCAAAAAGTTCCAGCTAAAACCCGATTGCACATAGGAAGTCAAAGTTAAGACTTCAATTACAGTGGGCGCCCATGGGGTTGATTGTGAAATTATAAGCAAAAACTAGCATAGGGTTCCAAGAAGTCACCGAAACTGAAAGAGAATGTGTGCGATTACTAATTAATGGAACGTGCTAGTTCATAACTGTTAGGGTTGTGTGTCAAAGCTTGGAATCGACACATCTGAATCATTCAGAGTTTGATTCAATAATTTTTCAACTATGAATTAAAAAACTATAGTTTTTATAGTGTGGTTTAAAAAAGGCTTTTGATTAAAGTTTCTAAAATAATTTTATTGAATAAAATGTACTTTTCATAGTAATATATTATTTTTGAGCCATTTTCCCGAGAGTCTCAATGCTTATCTAATTTTGTGATTCATGGATTGACCTTCTCTAGTTATTATTTCACAATTAAGCAACAATCTTGGCAGCAATTCGCTATATCTCTTCGCCATTTGACGGTGCACACTCATAATTTACTCATCATTCACTAAGTATTCATCTTATTCACTCAATCAACTTAGTAACTAGACGAGTTATCTTTATCACCACCATCTAGCCACTAGCCAGCTAGCCAGCCGGCAAACTTGTTATTGTAAAACATAGTTAACATTCCGAAACTTTGACACCCACCGCAAACTGCACGTAGTGAAATTTAGCTGCCAACTAAACCAAACATGCTGCGATCTAGAAAACTGTATCTTACAGATGCACACGCTTTTCCACACACCCACACAAGATACTCGCGCACACTGACTGACAACACAGTCTGCAAAAACAAAAAAATAAAAGGAGAAAAAAAAATAAAAAGGCGCACACATAACTTCAACTTGGCATTCCAACTGGGTTTGCACACGAAAATGAACACGTGCTGCTTTTAGCCCGCAGGATATGTGGCGGGAGGATGAGGGGGCTGGGTCAAGTAGGCGGAGGGGTGGGCAGTGGGGTGGGCTTGGTCGTTGGCTTGCAGCCACAATAACAACAGGCCAAGTTGAGTGCACCGGTGAGTGACTCACTCGCACGGGCTCTCCCACTCACTGGGCTCTCTTCGGGAAGAGAGAGTGGCGCTGATAAGAGCGTTTTATGACGCTCCTTCTATAACTTTTATAATCCCAGGTGGCATAAGGTGAATTTTAAATATCTAAAAAATAATAAAGTACAAAATCGGTTAAATGAATAAAAAAAAAAACTTGATGCTTTATATTTCTAAAGTTTAAACAGACCCTTTAAATACTTGCATCTTTTCCTCCCCCTTTTGGGTTTACCTCCCTAGGACTTAACGAAGCTCTACTGTAGAATGAGGTTTTGGCACGACTAACTTAGTTGGACGCCAGGGACCTTCTGTGTATGTATAGGTACTCTGTGTGTGTGCGCCCAGCTTTATGTGTGTGTATTTGTATTTGCGGTGCGTCGGCTGGCAACTTTAGTGGCCCGGCTAACTTTTAGCAAAAGTTTTTGGCTCGAATACCTGCCACTAACTAAAACCACAGGCAACCGGAGAGCCAGAAGCAGAGTGGCACAAGGGCCTGCCGCAGAAGTTTGTACCACGCATCGAACTATGAAAATCAGAAAAGTTTGCAGACAGAAATATCCAGCGCTGCATCCGAACAATGGGCACTTGGACGGCCGCCATCACATTTTCTACTTACCGCCCCGCTTGCCATTAGTTTTCAGTTTTCCACAGTTTTCCAATAAGCCTAACAAATTATACAGAATCGAGTTAATTCCCAAACTTTGTAAATGGAAATGCGGAGCAAAAACAAAATTCAAAGAACCGTAATCGAAACAGCTGCGCGGGCACGATAATTTTACATTCTACATTTTCCAAAAAGTTATCGTTTTAGAGATGACACCATCATTTTGGGGGGAATCACGTTATTTCGTTTAAAAATGAAACATTATAATATGAAATTTAAAGTACAAATATATGGAGAATTTGTTAAATTATTAAGTAGTAAGCGACGGTTCCCGTTGATATAATCTGTCCGTCCCACGGCGTACGCTTGGAGCTCGTTCTCTTAGTTCCTCATCTGAATCAGATTCTTCATCTGAGCTTCGGTGAAATGTAGAGAACGAACCGTGTGAGCTGTCCAGTAGCTGGGAAGAGATCCGTCTGAACCACTTAAACCGGCTTAGATATGACTCGACGCCCGGACTAAGAAAGTATAGTCGGAGTGGCCGTTGGCTCCTCAACGGATGAAAATGCCCGCGCCGGTGACTGTACATCAGATCCAGAGCAAACGAACAGTGTATGAAGAATATGGCGGCGGCATAGAAGGCAATCAAAGAGTTATCCCGGCAGCATTCATAGAATCCTGCCCAGTGCTTCGACGCAAATTGACCCTTTGTTGCCATGTGCATTTGGGCGAAAGAGGTCAACAGAAACATGGTGCCCAAAAAGGCTGAGAAGGCAGCCTCATGTCTCATCGCCGGCTTCTCGGCGTAGAACACTCCGACCACGAACAGAAAACAGATTATCGAGGAGCCACCGTAAGTGCCGCACAGCAGGAACATGTGCGAAAGGTTCTGGGTCGTTAGGCAGTAGTAGTGCATGTAGCAACATCCCACGCTCAGGAAGAACTCTATCAACTTCAAAAACAGCCAAACGGGCTTCTTGGAACGGAATTGAGTCATCTTGTTGAATCGAGTACGACACAAAACAGTTGAGGATAATATTGATTTTCAAAAGACAGACTGATACATACAGGATTCCTACGACTAACATATCATACAATTAGTGTAAAAGTTGAAGAACAGTATGTTGCGTCCAGTTCTTAGGGTTACAATTCACTAAAACATTCAATGGACGAAACATACTCTAAAAATATTGCCAACTACTTGTGGTAGCGGCTGTCTACTTCCTCCAATATTGGGTGAACCGATGTATTTGCTCCACCAGGGCTGGCATTACGGCCGTAATCGACACATCCAGCAGACTTTGCAAATGCTGAACCGCCTCTTCGTCCGTCAGTCCCAGTTGGAGGTTCTCCTCCACCTTTTTCACTGCCTTGTCGGGCTCAAGGGCAATATCTGGAACTGTGGCATCCACCATCAGCGAGAACAAGTTCAACATCACATTGGCATGCCGGCGCAAATGCAAATACGCCGTGTAGCATTGTTTCCGGAACTCATGGTGGTGCTCCGAGCTGATTCCGCCCATGGCTTCAACCATTTCCTTGCTGAGCTTCATGGGCGGAGGCATTGGCTTGGGATCGCGGCCCAAAATGTAGCCGAAATCAATGTGAAACAGCTTGCCGTTGGTGGTCAGCAGCAGATTGTCCAGATGACGATCACCGACGCCTGGAAGGGAAATGAACTCAGCACAACGAATCATAGTTTAGTCACTGGCTTACCCAGTAAGTAGGTGATGACACAATAGCCAGCACAGCTTTTGATGTACGTGTCCATGACCTCCGATGATATACCATAGGGCCCGTTATCACAGGGGTGGTGTTTTCGGAAGAAGTTGTGGATGTTGCCTTCGCGGGCAAGGACTTCCGCCACCGTGCAGGAGTCGATGTACTGCAGAAAGCCATGCTTGGGACTGGTGGCCAGCACCTTATAGGGAGTTAGCTTCAAGTCAAGGTTTTCACGACGCAACAACTTATCCATCAGCGTTATCATTTGCAGGATGAGCTGGTCCTGGCGCAGATCGTCGCCGTGCTTGAAAATAGCCACGTACTCATGCTGGGCAATGTTCGTGACAAAAGTCAGCCTAAAAAATCGAAAATGAATTATTTTCTTTCCTTTAAAAGGTAATGCGACTCACTTGGCTGGCATAAGAGCACTCTTGAAGAGAGTAGTCCGCATGGGGACAATCTTGGTAATATAAATCTCAGGATCTAGCGGGAAGGGAATCGGCTCGAAGTTGGTAAAGTTCACCTTAAAGCTGTCCTGCTCGGCAAGTAGCTTTTGGAACTTTTCAGTTTTCTTGTTGCGATTGCCCGGCTCCTTAGCCACCAACTTCACCAGCTTGACTAGCTCGTCGATAAACCGGCGCTGCTTCTTAAGATGGTAGAAGATGCCTCTAAGTTCAAAGTTTCCTAAAAAATACAAAATATGGTCAATGTTTCTTAGGAATAACTTTGATTTAAAATTTACCATTCTCGAGAACCTTTTGGAACATGTTTAGAACCATTTCGTACATATGGTGGGCACGTTCGTCCTGCTTTCTCACGGATTCCGTTTCCTCCACCTCGATGGACAAGTACCAATAGAAGTAGTTCGCCAGCGTGGCGTTTGTGCAGGCGCGCTGTATTAGGAATGTGCAGAGATTGGCGGGAACACTGCCAAAACTTATGCCGTCGGCCAGCATCAAGGCATTAGAATTGGAGTCGCAGGGCAGGGAACTGCCACCAGGAGTGCCAGGAACTGAGGGACCAGCTGCAACCACAGATCCTTGGCCGCCACTGCCACCCGCTGATCCGGGACTTAGTGACTTGTCAGCCTTGATGGCAGCCAGAAAACTTGCAGCTCGTTGGTTTGCTGGAATCACAGATGCATGCATGCCGCTGCTGGTGGCACTGAGATCCGAGAGACTGCTCTGGTCTAGCTGCGAGCTGGTATCATCGGGCATAGACCGCACTACGTCGCGGTCGGGGAATATACAGCCGTGAAGATGATTGATGTGACGAGGATCCTCGTACTTTAGAGCTTGGACCAACTGCAGCAGATATAACAGTAGGTCCTCGTCCGGGGCCTGAGCCAACCGGCTGACTGCGTACTTTCGCACTTGTGGATGAGTAAACGTGGGACTCAACAGTTCCAGAGCATCCTCGACGTCCATTGGCGCCCAATTGGCCAGCATCCAAAGGGCTTGAGTCACTTCATCCTCCAGCTTCCAGTTAATACACTTCAGGAACTTGGTAAGAGCCTTCTTGTGGGAAGATAAATAGAAACGAAACTTCCAGACCAAATCCTGCTCCTCGCTGCTCAGCACATATGTGGATGGATACCTGTACACAATGGTGTGCAGTTGATCTCGAATGCTGGAAAAGAATTAATATTTGAAGAGGGGAACCAACATTACTGACCACTACCCTTACCTTGCCGTGGGCTTGGCATCCCTGTCAGAGATGCCCGAACGCTCTGAACGCGCTAGACGATGGTGCTTCCTTTCCACTAAATTCTCCATCTGAATCTCCGAGTCGGGTACGGAGACTAGCTTGGGTTTGGCGGGTAATTTGTACTTGACATCGCCCTCCGGTTCAAAGTAGACCACCGCATACTGAAAATGAGTAAAGGATCAGAACCTGGAAGGCTGTATAGCTTTTAGTGACTCACATTATAAGTGTCGTCCACAACTATAGCTGGAAACTCGATCATAAGGAACATGTAGTCGGACATGCGCTTCTCCCGCTCGTTAATCACCTCGATTTCGCGGAAGGTCAGACGATCCAGCCAGTCGACCTTCTGTACCTGGCCATTTCGGTGCTTTTTGGCCAACTTTCCGAGTCGTTGCATTTGGGACTTGGATGACTCCTTACCCTTACCGGGTGTCTTGCTGGGAAAACCACCATCGCCCTCCACTCCCAGCCAGACCCGCAAGTCGTACATCCCCTGTCGGAACATGCCATCCTTCCCGAACACTGAGATGGAGGTCCCGCCTATGACCGTGGTCTGACCAGCTCCCGAACAATCTAGGATGGAAAGCACTAGCATTGCACTCCGGGGCAGATCGGAGAACTGGAGGGGCAGCGTCACCCACTCGTTCCAGCTCCATCGTTTCCCGAAGGCCTTGTACGAGCTGGTAACAGGTAAGCAGTAGGGTCTTCCCTGATTGAAAACCTGCAGGCGCACCTGAAACGAAGGATGCTCCTCGGAGTAGAGTCCCGAGAACCTTAGAATTGGATCCTCCAGAAGTTTTTCATAGTCTGGTTGTCGTTTTTTCCCCTCAAGCGTCCCACTGAAAGAGAAAGGAAACTTTATATACAGATTTTCCAGGAGATTCCAACTATTTTCCACATACACTTTGATTTGGACACGTTCGTGGAGAGAGGAGCTGTGTATGTAGCGAAAATGGTCATCCGGTTGGTCCATTTTCCCTTGCAAATTCAATTTTTCATTTATTTATGCGTAATTTTCACGGACAGTACAACAACTATTGGTCACAACATCGAACAGCTGACACAGTGGACTCTCCATAAAACAGACAAAAACAGCGGCGAAAAATATTTAAAATATTTAAAGTTTAAAAATCTGCAGAAAGTTAAATAGGAATTATGAAATATTTATTCTTATTACTTTGGAGAAATGGTATTTTTGTCTAAGAGATTCATTTTATTTGGAATCTTCACTGTTTTTGCGGCGAAGAACATGAACTGATTCATTTGAATTCGTCGAGCGGCGAACTAGAGCCGCGTGGTTCCCCCAGCTGTTGCACGCCGCTAAATTCACTTTTTTGTTTATTCCATCGATCCGAGCAAGATGACCGCGAATGTAACAATAGAACTGGCCCTAGATCGGGTGGACTGGAGAGATCTAGCAGCCCATCCGGGAAACCTTCCTCGGGTCTATACGCCTGGCGAAGTGCTAATGCCAGAGGCTGGCTTCATGCGAGGCCATGGAACGTTTGTGGAGGACGAAAACATCAAGGCCTCGGTGGCCGGTGTGATCGAGAAGGTTAACAAACTGATCTCCGTGCGACCACTAAAGAGCCGTTATGTGGGTGAGATCGGTGATGTGGTAGTGGCCCGGGTCATTGAGGTCCAACAGAAGCGCTGGCGCGTAGACACCAATTCAAGGTTGGATTCGATTCTGCTGCTTTCGTCCGTAAATCTTCCGGGTGGAGAGCTCAGGAGGAGATCGGCCGAGGATGAACAGATGATGCGGCGGTATCTGGACGAAGGGGATCTTATTTCCGCCGAAGTTCAAGTAAGTTTTTCCAACACATCCAAGTAATCTTCTTAATGGTTTTCCATTTTTGTAGAATATCTTTGAGGAGGGCACTCTGTCGCTCTATACGCGGAGTTTGAAGTACGGGAAACTCTCACAGGGCGTTCTGGTCAAGGTCTTTCCTGCTCTCGTCAAGCGGCGTAAGATGCACTTCCACAACTTGCCCTGTGGGGCCTCTGTGATCCTTGGAAACAATGGCTACATCTGGATTGCGCCCACTAAGGGCCAGGAACAGGATGGCGGTGAGGGAGGATTTGCGCAAAACTTAAACGAACATGTGCCGCGAAACGATCGCGAGGTGATTGCTCGGCTGAGAAACTGCGTCCTGGCTTTGGCCAAGTGCAAGCTAATGATCTACGACACCAGCATCCAATACGCCTACGAGGAGTCTCTGAAGTATGAAGCCCACGAATTGCTGCAACAAAATGCCATCTACGATATTGGGGAGCAAACTCAGGCGAGGCTGCGGGACTCGGACGACTAGGACTAGATCATAAATAAATAAATAGTTTTTTCTCTAATGCCCTCCACTTTAATGCGTTGAGTAATGATAAGAGTCCTTTTGGTGAATGGAACAAGGAGCGAGTTTACTACATTCAAGGTAAAATGTATGTAAAATTGGTAGCGGCTAAGTATATTTTACACTCACGAGTAGAATACAAGAAATATCGATATATTGATAGTTTGTTATCAAACCTTAGTTCCAAAATAAAGACGCCTTGTTAATTTAACTTTCTTCTTGCGGGTTTTGTGTTTGTGATTACACGTTATAATACGATATTATCTGGACAACGACACCTGCGATGGCCAACAGCACAATTGCGCGCGAATTGGAGCTGAGCGAAAAGAAAATCTGCCGCTTCTGCCTTACGGAGCAGAAGTTGGCCTCAATTTTCGGTCAACATGCACGCATTAAAACCACGGCTAATTTGCCGCTGCAGATAATGGCTATAACGGCGATCGAGGTAAGCGGAAGGTTCCTGGTTGCACTAACTTAAATCTCAGAACCAGGCTAGGAAATCTAACTCGGTGGTTTCTGAACTGACTGCGTTGGCGTCTTGGCTAAGTTTTCCCGGCTATTATACCGCATGCTCCCTTTCCCGCCGGCCGTAAACCCATCCAATGCTGGTCAAGGACATGCCACAAAGTTTAGTCACTTCCTTCAGTGGCTTGCACCGTCCTTAAGCTGTGAAAAACCCATTTCCATCCATTGTTGTGACAACTGTACCAAGAATGATATGTATGTACGTGTGTACATATGTATGTGTGTGGGCCAAGTCCCCTCCGCTGTTTAGAAATGACAGATGACAGCTGCTTTTGGCGCCAAACTTGGGCTATTTTGAAATCAAAATTAGGATTTTGCATAAACATTCAACAATTAAAAATAATATTCAATTCATTTTATTCATATGCGTATAAAATATATATATAATTGTATATATCTTCATTGTATAATCTTATTCAAAAATTTGTGGGTTTGCTGATTGGCAAGAGTTCTTACGTTTAGGAAAATCATAAAGTTAAGTGGGAAACGAATTTCGTCAACCATAAGGCCGAGGGTGGGGGAAATGAGTCGGGATTAATTAATTATGTAATGGTGCTGTTTATCCTTGGGGATAATCACACGTGTCCATCCTATACTAGACTTGAAGTGAATTGGAATCCAAAGTGAATGATTGTTGGGAATTTCAGTTGTCGGTTCGTTTGATTTGAACTTAGCCTAGAAAAGAGATCGTTTAGCCAGCCTTATTGCCATTCGGTTTGTCGCTGAAGCGCAGTATGCGCGTCAGCATTGAGGTGAGGCACGGTATCTGCTTCTGTCGATCCATAATGGGGGTGCCGGGCACGTTCGACTCAAAGTCGATGGCCACACGCTGATTGACGAAAGTGAGCAGGGTGAGGATGTCGTACTTCTTGCCATTCGTGTTGAGCTCTCGGATCAGCGACTGCATAAACCAGGAGCCGTTGTTGATGTTGCGCCAGGAATAGTAGCCTTGAAGTTGGAATAATTAGTCATCTAGTTATCTAATTTGTGCGCAGTACTTACCGGGAATGGTGGAGTAGGAGAAAAGAAAGTCCGAGTGAATGGGTATCTTGTAGCTCATCGAGGAATCGCCATCCGTTTCGGTGGTGGTCTTCTCGAGGGTCATTCCACCATCCAAACGATCGCCCTGGCAGGCTTGGATGAAGAACAGCTTTGGTTTGCCGGCCAGCGTGGGGCAATAGTTGGCCGTAAAGTAGTGCCAGATATTGTCCAGCTTGTACTGCGTGTCCTTGGCGTACAAATAGCCATGTTCTCCGTGCGAGAGAATGGCAACTGCCAGGCAATCGTTGTCCGTGTGATCTTGTGACGCCGCCTTCTCCACATGCTTCAGGATGTCACGAAACTTGCAGTCCTTGTGCACCGACACTTTGAACCCCAGACCTTGGAGGGCCGACTCCAGTTCGGCCGAATCCACATTGGTGCCGGCGCGACTCTTGAGCGAGGGAATATCGAAGAATTCGTGGTTGAAGATGAGGGCCAGACCGCGATTCTTGTGATTCATATTGTACTCGGAGGCGTAACGATCCACGGGCATTCGAGCCACCAGCTTGTTGGCCGGAACGGGCGGTGCGCTGGGGGTTGTGATTATATGAATGTTTAATGGTCGAGTGAATTGGAAGATAAGATAAGTTTTGGTCAAAATTAGCTCTATCAGTAATGATGTGTTTAGTTAGGGTCTTCATGAAAATCTTTTTCCGGTATATATTGCCATAATATTTGAACAATTAGTCGTATGTCAGTACAGTTATAAAATTTAATTAATCATTATTTTATTGATAAGAACTATTGGCTTTTAGGATTTAGGATTGGCTAATGAACTGTGACTCATGGGTAACTTTCTCGAAACAGGTACATGAAAATGCCCAAAACAGGAGTTTACTCTTTTGATTGAGAACTAAAACAAGTAGACTGATAAGGGAATACCAACACAAGTGCAGGGAATGCAGAACATAAATGAGAGAGCGATGAGAGCAAGAGAGTTGAGGCAGACGCTGCACATGGACTTACCCCGCTGCAGTTGCACCACCGCCGACACCAACACCGCTCCCCGGGCAGCCCTTGGCATCGGTATTATCAGCTATAATGCTGCTTCGATTTCCCGCTCCATTCGAGCTGAGAACATTGAAGTTTCTGGTTATGCATTCGTCCGTCATACTGGCTGCCCTCTTTTTTTATTTTATCCGAGGGTCGACTCTCCTTGTGCCTGCTCCTCCTCCTCCTCCTCCGCACTTCTTGTTTTGATTGTTTATTTCTCCTTGTGCGCCGCTTTGCTTTCTGCCTTTCTGCTTTTGTTCTTCGTCTGCCTGTGGGACTGACTGAGCGCCTTCTTTTCAGCCTCTGCTTCTCTTCCTCGAGCTGTTGCGCCCTTTTCTCTATTGTTCTTTAACTTTTAGCGAAAACTTTAACAAACTTTCACAGCACACAGCACAGCTGTTTTTTCAAAATATAGTTGCTTTGAAAATCGTGCGAACGGTAACAAGTGCCCGAATGTCCTTTTATGGGTCTGCCGTGTTCAATCAATCAATTACCGGAGGTTAAGCGTGTTCGCCGCCACTCAAAACAACAATATGTGGTGTGACCAGGTGCAGCATAATAGCGGCTCGACAACCCGCCAACCTATCTGGTCACCTTTTCGGTTGCGACCCAGGCTTATCGTATTTTTGCACCTGCTTATTGACTTCTTGAACCTTATTTATTTTTAAAATTAATTTAAAAAATGATTATTTGAAATTGCCTTTTTTAGGTGGGTGAATACGATGGAATGCCTGCCTACATTTGCCTGGAATGCCGTCTCCTCTTCGAGCACTGCTACCGTTTCAAGCAGATGTGCAAGCGGGCGGAAACTCTGCTCCGCCAGTTTCCTTTGACCGGAACTTGGCCTGCGCCCCTCGAAAAACCGCGAGCTCCAATGGTTGCCGGCCAATCCGGAACATCTCCGACAATAACGGTCCGTACAAAAGATCCCCCACCACCTGTTTCCCCCACTTCGAAACCGAAGAAGCTACTCAACACCATGGCCAAATCCAACAAAGTTATCATTGAAAATGTCGAGATTTTGGAGACGTCTCTGGTCAACCTAAGTCCAACTACTGCGGCAACGATCACAAGTAGTACCACACGTTCGCAGCCCTATCAGCTAAAGGTGGAGAATAACCAAGAGCTCTCCATGGATGATGTGCAAAATATGTTGGAGGATATGGCCAATGAACTGGATGAAATTTCTCCGCCGAAAAAGGATGACTTACCACCACCATCGCCGAAAAAACATAAGGTTTTGAACAAGTCTTCGATTAGAATACTGAACAAGGGACCCGCTGCTCCGATCGAGCCTCGTATAGCCACACCCCAGATCAAAACGGATGAGAGCGGAAATGTGGCCATTGTAACTGAGATCCTGGACCCCAACGCTCTAACGGTGCACGAGGATCTGAAGAAGAACGCCGAGCAAGTTCCAACCAATGTTTTTCCTTGTCCGGATTGCGAGCGTTCCTTCCCGCTGCAGCAGTTGCTCGACATCCATCGGCTGAACCATACGCGAAAGCGTAGCTTCCAGTGTCCCGACTGCGACAAGAGCTTTTATTCAAAGTACGATATGGCCAAGCACACCTTCATCCACACCGGGGAGCGGCCGTTCAAGTGCACTGTCTGCGATAAGGGCTTCACCAGAAAGGCATTGCTCCACCGTCACGAGCGCACTCACACGGACATTCCAAAATTCATTTGTGTCTACTGCGAACGTCCCTTTATTTCGCGCCAGGAGATGGAGAAGCACGCCCAAAGGCATACCAAAAAGCGACCATTCCCATGCGGTGTCTGCGGCAAGTCCTTTGCTTTTAAGCAGGGATTGGAGCGTCACGAGGTGGGTTCTTTATTTCGATTATGCCCTGGATCGTATTTAATCCATTTTTTTGTGTTTTAGGTAATCCACCAATCGAACCTTCCTTTCCCCTGCCAGCATTGCCCCAGGTCCTTCCCAACGGCTTGCAAATTAGCGCGTCATTTGGTGGCTCACGCTGGCAAGAGGGTTTATCCCTGCAAGTATTGTCCCAAATCGTACGTGTTGTCTCACCATCTGTCCCGGCACTTGCGAACCCACAAGCAGGCCACTGCCGACTCGTCCTTTATGTGCAGTGAATGCCGGGAGATGCATAACAGCTATGACAGCTTGCTTGAGCACTCTACGCATCATGCTATGATGACGCTGAAGTGTCCACTCTGCCGCGAAGAGATCGGCGACACCGACGGAGTCGAATCACATATGCAGCTGCACAGGGATAGCGAGCGATTCGCTTGCGAATTCTGTGACCATATCTTCTTGAGCCAGGCACAGGCCCAGAAACACATTGAGGACGACCATGTCGTGGACATGGTTCCATATTATAATGAAGATGAAGGAGAAGGTGAAGGCGAAGGTGAAGTTGAAGGCGATGTTGATGCCGATGTTGTGGAGGAACTGGACCAAGAGCAAAAGGAAGACGTTCAGGACCAATTTGAAATAAAGGAAGAATTCTTGGAAGAGTTTTTGGACGAAGATCTTGACGATTCCGATGCCTCCTTTACACCGACTCCCGCAAAACGGCGTAAATCCAGCCCAGCTAAGGGCAAATCCATTGAAGTTTCGGAAGGCGAAAAGCGAAAGACTCGCAGTCAGGACGTTGCCAAAGTAGACAAGCCTGCTCCAAAGAAAGAAGTAAAGGTTTCTCCCAAACAGGGCCGTTTGGTGGTTAAACAGGGAAAGTGGCAAAAAAATTAATGCTACATGCACATTCATTCCTTGTATTCGTTCTTAGCCTACATATGAAATATATTTTTATGTAACCCACATCGTTTGCTCTTTTTCTGTTTATGAATTTATCAAAGTAATACTTTGGGGGAAGCTAATCTGGGCATTTGTATTGGGATATGGCACCGGGTGATACTATAATCAAGCTTTTAAAAGAAATAAAGTCTAGAATTGACACTGAATGGGTCTTTAAAAGAGCTCCAAAGTTAGAACAACTCACATTCACACATTTTAGACACATCCTTTCAGTTATATACCTTTTGGCCTTCCCACACCACAGCTCCTGGGTGTCATGCACTCGTGGATTTAGTTCTTTATTGAAGCGCCAACATCATCTTGTGTTTTGGTTATTTATGTGTGTATTTCCGCCTAAAGTTCAGTTTACATTAACGATTACATACTGGACGACCCCGCTCCGAAATGCGAAGTACCCAACAAGTGCATCCCCATTAACGGAATTGGTGGCTATTTAGTGCTCATAGCCATCGGGCAGAGGGTTGACATGGGGGTTGTGGAACAAGCTCTTGTTGCCCTCGCCCCAAGGGAAACGCTTCTCACGGCGGCGAAGGTAGTCGTACTTGACGAATTCCTGGCGGGGCTTGTCGTGCTCCTCCTGGTGCTTCAGGTAGGCATTCAGCATGCACAGTCCCACGGCGGGCACGGCCACGAAGAAGGACAGGCGCTTCCACACCTTGTAGCCACCTGAAAAAAGAAAAGGAATATTGTTATAAGAGGACCTCTCCAGCCATCCATCGATCTTGCCCAACAAATTACATAACCTTAACCTTACAAAATCCGGGAATGGGCTCTCGGAGGACACTTACCGGAGTGCTCACCAGCCACGGCGGCAGTGCCGGACATGTTCCTGGCGGCGGTAGCGCCAAATTGGCGACGAATTGCGTGGTTGAGAACAGCAGACATATTTCCCTTCGATTCTGGTCCGAATGAAAATTTGCTATTTTGACAAGTAAATAGGGATGGGAGGAGTTATCAGACACGAAATATCGAAATGTTCGATAAATAAAATTAACATAGCAAAAGTAAAATTATAATAAAAGCATGTTTTTGTGGTAAATAATTATAATAATGTCTGTATAATTGGTTTAATTATAACCATAATTAAAAATAACAAAAATTCCTAAAAAAAAATCGAAACCATCAGCCCTGGTCTGGTGTTCCACCCCTGGTCAGGGCTGGAAAATACTTGGTCGGTTCGCAGCTCTGCTTCTTCTGTTTGCCTTCTCACATTCGACAACAACAACGTGTCGCGTAATTATTTTTCCATATTGTTGATACAAAAACGGCGCATTAAATTGTAAATACACCTTATCCACATCCTCGCTTCTGCCAACCATAGAAGTAGAACCAACAGCGCTGGAAGAGCGCAACCCCACGATCTTAAAAGCAAAAGAACCGACAGTCAAATATCAGCAAGGACGGAAAAATCGCAAATCGAAAGCAAAGTGAAAAGTCATTAAAATAGGCGAACATACTAATTGAAGCTAATAAGGCAAACACCGAAAGCCATTCTGATTCCCTGTACTTCATCAAATTCTCACTAGACAATACCAATAAATCGAAACGGAAAAGTATTAGAAGGAGACCCCCTCAAGGAGAGGAAACTTATAGAATAAAAACTTGCTACAATGGCTGCCAATAACTTGCGACAGATTCCGCTTACTTGCTCCGGACACACGCGTCCCGTGGTGCATCTGGATTTCAGCGACATCTGTGACAGCGGCTACTTTCTCATCTCGGCGTGCAAAGGTGAGAAAAGTGGAGGAAAATCGCATGCGACACGGCGTCCTCGCGGTCTATTAATAGTCAATGTCCGCCGAAGCACAGTGGGCTCGGCCATTCAAAAGTTTCGCCAAAATATGATTTATTATGTTCACTTAATTTGAAGTGTTTGTCGAACAATCGAGGCAGTAAATTGTTTTCGAGCATGAATAGGTGTTTTCTCAAGAAAACGGCAGTAGTTTGTTTATTGCCCAGTTTGTTTGTTTACTTTGAATTCGAGGTGAAATTAAACTAGTTTTTAGTTTAGTTTAGGAAGTCTTCTTTTTGCTAAACAATCTCCAAAAATGTTTATTAATTAATGAATATTTAGTACTTAAGGACATTTAGTAGCAGAGTTAACAAATAACCTTTTAGAGATAAGATGCTGCATCAGCAAAACATATGTATTAAGTTCCGATAAACACGGTTCGGCTCGGTGTCTAGCCTGCTCGTCGCCTTGACCCAAATGCAAAGTCATTCATTGCGAGCGAAACCTGTTTGCTGCGAACCCTTTTCCCGCCACTCGCATGCTACAAATTTCACGTTCTTTGCCTTGAGGTGTCACAGGCTAGTCGATGCTAGTGCTATTCGCCATATGCCCCATACGATTTTGTTTGTGCTTAGCACTTACTGCCTTTCGTAAAATGAGTTGTGTTTATGCGGAAAGAGCCGCCAGTTGACATATTCCCATTGCAAGTTCAAGTTAAATTCGTTATCGCCTTTTCAATGTACTGGCTTCCCCTTGTTTAGCAACTTTTTCGAAACTGCTGCTCGTTTGTGCGTTCAGGAAGCACCTTGAAACTTCTATATTTATATGCAGTAAGTATGCAGCTGCTCGGCTGTCTGTCTGTCTGGATGATTCCAACTGCGGAATACCCTTTTCAGGAAAGGAATGAAACTATTTAATGGAATTATAGATTCAAGAACCAATTAGCATTCTAATAACTGACATTTATTAGAAACAAGGCCTCTAAAACGAGTAAAAAGACCTCAATAAATTATTCTTTTTAATAGTGTTTGCTTTTCTAATGCATTCCCACTATATTAATTACGAGTAAACATTTCCCAGGCCAATAAATAATCAAATACATAATCAAAAACTGATAACAGTTTACATTTCGACAAAACAAAAAGTGAAAACATGTAGCATTGATCGAACTAACAAGCAATCTGTCGTGAAAATGCCGTACCCTCCGATTTCCGATCTGCCCACGGCCCGATGCAGTGGAAGTGACGTGAACTTGGGCAGCCCGCTTACATGATATTGCGTTCGCGAGCGTCAGTCGGGTCGTTGGCCTTGGGGAAGGCATTGAGTCAAGGTGGCTTCCGATTTGCTCCTCGCCCCTCCGATTCACTCGCTAATTTATGCACACGAGCATCCCGGCGAACGTGTCTGCAACTAACCAAGTGTTCTCCTTAGAGTCAAATTAAAGTGGAAATCGCCATTAACATTGTAATTTAAGTTCGCGTAGATTATTAAGCATACATGCATAATGTGCATTGATATTCATTTAATTATTTCAGATGGCAGTCCAATGCTGCGTCATGGCGATACCGGCGATTGGGTGGGCACCTTTGAGGGCCACAAGGGTGCCGTTTGGAACGCCACCCTCAACCGGAATGCTACTCTGGCTGCCTCCGGAGCGGCGGACTTTACAGGAAAGGTGTGGAATGCGGTGACTGGGGCCGAGATCCACAGCTTTCAACACAAGCACATCGTCAAGAGCGTGGCCTTCGATGCAGACTCCGAGAATGTGGTGACCGGGAGCAACGAGAGGCTGGTAAGGGTCTTCAACTTGGAGCAACCGAATGCACAGCCGGAAGAGTACGCTGGACACACGGGCTCCATTAAGCGAGCGCTCTTTTGCCGCGGCGACAAGTGCATCATCTCAGCGGCCGAGGACAAGACGGTGCGCTTGTGGGACCGCATGACGGGCATTGAGGTGCAGCGTCTGCAGTTCCCCAACAACCCAAACAGCCTGGAGATTTCGCGTGATAACCACATCTTGACGATTGCACATGGATCGTCAGTGAGCTTCTGGGAGATAGACTCTATGAAGAAGCTAAAGGAGGTGAAAGTGCCGACGAACGTTTCGTCCGCCAGTTTGCATCCGGACAAGCACGTCTTTGTCTGCGGCGGCGAGGACTTTAAGATGTACAAGTTTGACTTTATCACAGGCAATGAAATCGGTAAGAAAAATACTCCAAAATATCATATATTTTAAACTAAATGGCATTCGTTTTCAGAATCCTTCAAGGGTCATTTTGGGCCCGTGCACAGTGTGAAATTCAGCCCGGACGGCGAGCTGTACGCCAGCGGTTCCGAGGACGGTACCCTCCGCCTTTGGCAGACTACTGTTGGCAAAACCTACGGTCTGTGGAAGTGCACGGAGCCTACGGACATGGGAAACTCACTCAACTCGCCCCGTGAAGTGCAGGCAAACTGATGTTGGCGCAGCAAGAGTCGCTGCTACACGCCCCACGTCGCCCACCGCAAGGGCACGTGATTCGGAGCTACGGCTGAGATCCATTTTGCCCCCAAAACGTGAGAACAACTTTCGTTTCTTGTGGGCTACAACAACGATATTTCATATTCCAACGCTGAACTTCTCATTGGCATTAAATGATAATCACAAAAAAAAACTACATTGTGAAATGCAATAGAAATAAATAACTTAAGTTTCTCAGTTGTGACAGTGGATAAATGCTATGTCGCACGAAATGGAATTAGATGTGGGTGCCCGTGGCCCAGCCGTGCAGGTAGATTGTGGTGAAGTTGAGCAAGGTCTCGCCCTGGTGGATGTCTGGACGGTTTTGGAGGTGGTCAAACCAGCGGGACAGGTTCAGATAGGCCTCTTTGTCCACAGGAGAAAGGGATTTCTGGAAAGAATACTTATTGGAAACTCTTAGCTATTATGGATTTTTGAATCCCTTACCACAAGATCATAGATGGCGTAATACACTGCTAGGTCGGCCAGAGTGATGAAGTGCCCTACCAGGTAGGATTTGCTGGCAAAGAGTTTGTTAAAGTCGGACAGCAGTTGTTTTGACACGTGTTTGTCCTTGGATCCGGGCGCCACGTAGAGAACTGAGAACTCGATCCACTGATAGACTTGTGCCTCCACCTCACGCGATACCTTGCTGTTTTGGGCCGTCTCTGACTTAGATTCCTTGGCCAGACTCTCCAAAATAGTGGCGAATCCAGCCACGGTTTTTTTTTGGCCACTGGTCCGGGTTACGACCTTCACAACAGAAAATAAATTGATGCGGCCATGAGAACCAAGATTGTTTAAGTGGAATATGAAAGGTATACCTGTTCCTCGTTCAGTTGCACCTTTCCGGGATTGACCCCCAAGCAATGGGCAATCTTTTGGACAGTTGCAACGTCGCACATGGTGGGGATAATCAAAAAATTATGTAGCTTGCAAAAATCACATACAACAAGCTACCAGTGTTGGTAAGATAGTGAGCAAGCCCCATATAAGCAGTCTGGCAACGCCCATTCCTACTACTCACGGTCACACTTTACCGCCAATTTAAGATTTAAAAAAAATAAAACATTTATATGGATAGATCTTTTATTATTAGATCTTTTTAGAATGAATTTCATTTTATTATGTCCTAGTAATATTTCCCTGGACAGACTTAGCTAAAGCTTCATACGTGACATCATATTGCAACAGGAAGATGAAGAAGTCGGCAGAGGCCACCAAAAGCTATAGAAAAAGTTATAATAAAAGCAAAGAAAAAAAAAAAATGTTTTAAAAGTTTAATGCAGAATTATGGAAAATAAATTTATGAATCGCATAAGGTATTCCGCTCCAGAATCGGTTGATTATTGGCTGAGATATGGGCATCAATGAAGGCCATATTTTTCCCAACCAGTTTCGAGGTTTTTTTGTTGTTGACCAAAAATTTAAGATATAATATATTCTTATATTTTGATGCAGATTTAAAAAGAATCGATCTACAAATCGTTCATGGTATTTCCCCCAACAATCGGATGATTATTGACAAAGCTATGGCCATCGCAGTGTGGCATATTGGGCCCTCATGGGTTTTTGTGAATTTGGGAAGGGGGTCCCCTAGAAATTTTGAAAAAAAATTTAAAAAATAAGATGTTCTTAGATTTTGATGAAGATTCATAAAGAATCGATTTACAAATCGGTTAAGGTATTCCCCTCAACAATCGGATGATTATTGACAAAGCTATGGCCATCGCAGTGTGGCATATTGGGCCCTCATGGGTTTTTGTGAATTTGGGAAGGGGGTCCCATAGAAATTTTGAAAAAAAATTTAAAAAATAAGATGTTCTTAGATTTTGATGCAGATTCATAAAGAATCGATCTACAAATCGTTTAAGGTATTCCCCTCAACAAACGGATGATTATTGACAAAGATATGGCCATCGCAGTGTGGCATATTGGGCCCTCATGGGATTTGTGAATTTTGGAAGGGAGTCCCCTAGAAATGTTGATAAAAAATTTAAAAAATAAGATGTTCTTAGATTTTGATGAAGATTCATAAAGAATCGATTTACAAATCGGTTAAGGTATTCCCCTCAACAATCGGATGATTATTGACAAAGCTATGGCCATCGCAGTGTGGCATATTGGGCCCTCATGGGTTTTTGTGAATTTGGGAAGGGGGTCCCATAGAAATTTTGAAAAAAAATTTAAAAAATAAGATGTTCTTAGATTTTGATGCAGATTCATAAAGAATCGATCTACAAATCGTTTAAGGTATTCCCCTCAACAATCGGATGAATATTGACAAAGATATGACCAGCGCAGTGTGGCATATTGGGCCCTCATGGGTTTTTGTGACTTTTGGAAGGGAGTCCCCTAGAAATTTAAAAAAAAAATTAAAAAAAAAGATGTTCTTAGATTTTGATGCAGATTCATAAAGAATCGATCTACAAATCGTTTAAGGTATTCCCCTCCACAATCGGATGATTATTGACAAAGATATGGCCATCGCAGTGTGGCATATTGGGCACTCATGGGATTTGTGAATTTTGGAAGGGAGTCCCCTAGAAATTTGGATAAAAAATATAAAAAATAAGACAAAGATATGGATAAAATGACAAAGATATGGCCATCGCAGTGGGGCTTATTGGGCCCTTAGATTTAGAGGCAGGATTGTGGAGAACCAATCTGCAAATCGTTTAAGTTATTCCTTAAAATGTGCTGATGATTTTGATGGGGGACAAATTGACTTTCCAAATTGAATTAGTTTAAAACTCACAGTTGTTAAGAATTTCAGATCCAGGGAAATGATACCTGCCGCAACATGCTGGCGCACATCGGTAGTCAACTGAAGGATAAAGTGGTTAAAGATGTCCTGGAGATCAATATGCGGATTCGGGGTTCCGTTTAATACAATCAAGCACCTGGTATGCTAGAAGAATAAGTTTAAAAATAAAAATTTCATAAGGAACGCCATTTTAGCTTACCTCTCCCAGAACCTTCTGGTTAAAATACAGGATGCTTAAAACTTTTCCCATGTGCATGGCTAACCAAAGAAGCATATATATCCCATTGGGCCAGTTGGAGAGGGCTGGGTTCTCCACTCCTTGGTACACCAGAAACAGAACCAAATTAAAGTTCAGGAAACAGCCCACGAAGAGCAGCACAATGGAGTACTGATAGTTTCGGTTGACAAGTCTGGTGAAGTGCGTCAACTCCGCGTGCTGTAATCGAAACTTCTGAATCTCTGCTTTTCGTGGTATAGCCAACAAGTACAGCTCCCGTTCTAAATAATCTGTAACCTTTTCCTGCCGCCAAGCAATTTCCCGAAGCAGCACATAATACTGGACAAAGGAAAGGCTACTGATAATATTGGGCATAACGAAGCTAGTGATGCTTAGGATCGCTCTGTGAACATCGCATTTTTTGCTCCAAAAATCAACGCATATTGCCAGGCAGGTAAACGTCCAGACCAGCAGGAGTTGGAATCGAATGAATCTCTTGCTTCGTCTGCTATCAATGCTATAACCTCGTTCCATATCCGATTTAACTATGTCCTCTAGGACGTAAGAAATTCGGTGTCTCCATTGAAGTGTTAGTAAGAGGATAGAAGCAATATGAATTATGTAGATTCCGGATTCCACGGCGTTTAAATACCGATCGAGTGAAACCTTTTGAAGTGTAATCCGTGTGAACTCCCAGTATGAGACAAGGGCGAAGAACCCATACCATGATGCCATCCAAATCAAATGGAGAAGGTGGTGGACTCTGCTCCGACAGCCTCGCAGAATGGATATTGGAGCTGTACAAGAAATAACAGAAATCAGGAGCAGGCCATTTAAAGTCCTTTGAAGTTGATGGTATTTTCCCATATATTGCTGAATGTGACTAGGTGGTCTGTAAATTTAAGAGATTATTTTATACAAAAATAAAATCAAAAATGTTTACTTACCCTTTAAGTAACCAAGCCCTCAGCTTGTAATTTCTGGATGAGATTTTCTTTGGCTTCCACATCATGACTGACGAAGAAATAGGAATTCTATGGCATTTTAGTCCTTCATTTAGCTCCTTCATAAGCTTCATTAATCATTTGTACTAAACGAAAGCCTTTATACTCCTTGCCATCATTAACCATTGACACCTCGAGATGAGCACTTCGAATTCCCTCCTGACCGTGAGTAGGTTCCTTGGAGTGGCTGCGTTGGGAAAAAGAGGTCCCATCCGGTGGATCCACTGCGTCTGGTGCCTGTCTCTGGTCTGCTACGTCTGGATTGCTAGCATCTATAAATGCCTGAGCTTCAAGTCCGCAATGCCAACTATTGAAAAGATTCTTTATCTAATGGAATTCCCTGGTAATATGGCAGTAACTGGATTTCTGGCTTATTATGCTTTAAGAAATCGTCCTTGTGCCCAGGACACAGAGCTGCAGATTCATCGCTTTGTTGGTGGACTGGAATCCAAGGTTGCTAAACTTATCTATCGGAGACATTGCCAGAGGAGCCTTCAGCTTGTATGGGTGGTAATAGCCTTTCATGTTCTTTGCGCCCTGGTGGACATTGGAACCTTTAACTTCGACTGGTGTGCAACTGCTTTTAGTAACAGCATCTACAACCTGCCAGCTCTGATGATGAGCTTGGGCATACTCCAGTATGTCCAACCCGTCCATATACTGGGACTTTTGCTGGAGAACTTAAGGATGCGCCTGGAGGAACTAAAGCTACACCAGAGACCACCGATTAGTGCCACCAAATTGGACGCCGACTACGAAGCCGCTTTTGGAGTTCTTGTGGATGCGGGCGGTTGTTCAGGTCTACTTCTGGAGGAGTTGCGCACCATGTGCTATACCATAGACCAACTGCACAAAAAGCTGATGGACAAGTTTGGAATATTCCTGCTGCTGAACTTTGCCAACTCCCTGACCAGCTTCTGCGTGGAACTCTATCTGGTTTTTAATTTCTTCGAGACGCCTCTCTGGGAGGAGTCCTTGTTGCTAATTTATCGACTGCTCTGGTTATGTATGCATGGTGGTCGTATTTGGCTAATCCTGGCGGTCAACACATGGATTTTAGAACAGGTAGTACTTATGGTCATGTGTTAATTTTGACTCGCATCCATCTATCCATAGAAGTGTCATCTTTTCCAACTGATAAATGAACTGGAGGTGTGCAGTTCCCATTTGGAGCGCATTATTAATCGTTTTCTGTTTCAATTACAAACTAGTCTGAGCCAACCCCCGGAGGCATGTGGAATCATTCCGCTGGACACTCTTGAAGTGGGTGGGGTAAGTCCGTGGTCGTCTAACAATTAACCCTTTTTCGGACAATTAGTCTATCCCCATTGTCCTCTGACAGTTCATCGGAGTCCTGATGGCCATTGTTATATTCCTGATTCAAATCGGCCTTGGAAATAAATCGCTAATGGGAGTGGCCTTGAACAGATCCAACTGGGTGTATGTTTGAATTTATATACAAAACACACTGAATAAATGCAATATAAGTTTGTGTTATCCTGATGGAGTCCTGGGTTGTGTTTTGTAATTCCCGCCAATGAAAACCAAAAAGGTTTTTGCTTTCAGTTCGATTTCCATTTGAATAAAAGGGCTATCTCCTTGGATTTCTTACTCATTTGGTCAAAATGGCTGGTAGAAGACTGTTTTTGTGGGTGAGGCTGATCTTAGCCAGAGTCGTTCGCAGCTCGACACCTTTTCTTCGAAGACTTATGGTTATCTTCGGAGCCTGTTTAGCCCGAATAAGGGAGGTGGTGGCCATGGCTGGTGCAGAGACTGGTCTTCTAGCCATCTCCTTGATCGTCCACCGTCGTCTTCACGCCCTGGAGCGAGCTTTGTGGCTGGGAGTCGTGCTGGCCAGTGTCATTACCGCCCTGATAATTAGTAACGTCCAACTGGGTCGCTACTTCACCTCACCGACGGTGATCTCCGTGGATCGGGACTATCGTGGTTGGAACGGATCCCTTCCAGCTGTTACGCTGTGTTACTACGACCACATCGACTCCTTCAAGGCCAATGAGTATATCCAGGAAGTGTGGAACGTGTCCATCATCGATGAGGATTACTTTTATTTCATGGACTTCCTCTATGCGGTGGTCAACGCCACCGCAGGGAACTACGCGGAGCTGGTCAAGTTTGCCGAGGATGAGCGCTTCGATTCGATTGATCTGTATGAGATGATCACGCGAGTGGACCGACCCTTTGAACAGGTCATCAGTAGCTTCGACGCCAATTTCGATGTCCACGTCCAGATGGTGATGACGGAGCGGGGATCATGCTATGCCATCAATTCTCCCATGTCGACGGTTCTCAGTGGCCAGTGAGTATATCCTTTTAACTTGTATTTCTTTGGATTAAATCACATTATCCATATACTACATATCCTTTTCAGACCCGTTGCCTATGAGTTGATGCCTCAGCCCTTGTCCTGCCAATATGGCAAGCAGCAGTGCTACATCCGAATGGATCTGTATGAGAGTACGGGTGTGGTAAGTGATACACAATGGTCTCCATTCAAATCGATTTTAAATCTCAATGAACAACCTTGCAGCTGGATGTCCATTCGCCGTTTGAAGTCTCAGCCTCAGAGGCGAACATTGTGGCTTTGCACAAGTCCGACGAGATAACTGCCTCGTTCAAGGTGCTGGAAACGGTGTAAGTAGACCACTTCCAGACGGCACCCAGACTATAAGGGAATTAATTTATATTTTAACTAATCCCCAGGGCATCGAAAAACTTACGCCAACTGAGCGTGGCGCAGCGCAAGTGTGTTTTCAACAACGAGGAGACATCCAACCTGAAGGTATATAAAATTACATATATATTTTTAAATAAATATATATATATTTAGTAAATAGATTACCCCAAGATGCTGATATAGAGCGATGGCCTGCGTTTCGGGTGGGCGAATAAACAAATTTCTTGAGTCAAAAGTGCAGCTCCAGATAAGACCTGAGTTACGGATCAAGAAACTCATATCTCCCCATGTCTTTATTGCATAAAACACGTTTTTTTTTCTACATATATTTGTCTAAGATAACATTCTTTATTTTATCTCAGCAAATATAATTTTAAACAAGATATAATAGGGCTTTATATTTGTCACTGAGTATGGAGGGATGTATTTAATTTATTGGCATTCTTGTTAAATATTTCTATTTAAATGTATTATCTTTAAACTATTTCCCAGATCTACAGCAAATCCTTGTGCCTCGCTAGATGCCGTGCTGTAATGGCTTTGGAAATGTGCAACTGTGTACCATTTTTCTATCCTTATGTGGAGGGACCTAGCTGCAATCCGGCTGGATTCGAGTGCCTGCTGGACTTCAAGTGGCCCATCTGGGCGCTGCACATCTGCAAGTGCCCCTCCACCTGCACCGAGATCGAGTACACCATGCAGACGGTGAAGAAGAGCTCCTGGGGCGTCAAGAACAACGAGGAGGTGGTCAGCAGCGAGACAGCCACCTCCAGCTTCCGCTGGGATCTGATTCCACCCAAGGTGAGACTGCGTCGGGATGTGGTCTACAGTTTTGAGGATTTGGTGGGTAGGTATTTAAAGAGTTTTAATTCCGAAAACCTATAACCTCTTCTCATTTTATTTAAAGTATCATTTGGCGGTGTCCTGGCTCTTTTTGTGGGCGTGAGTGTGATGGGTCTGGTGGAGATGGGCCACGTGATCATTTACAATCTTCTGCTGGACTTGTTTACATTCCTCTGCTGGATGTTTGCCAAAGTAAGGCAATGTTACCAAAAAGGCAACCGCAAATCGGTGGCGAACCGCATCCATAACCACGGCTTGGAGCACCACCACCAGCTGGAGGAGGAGCAGCAGCGTCTCTCTTTGGCAGACACCGCTGAACTGCCGCCGTTCGACTATGTGAATTGATAAGCGACAATTAGCTGGCAACCCAAATGCGGTCAAAAGTTTAATGTTACTCGGGCGGGGGAGTGGAATATGGTGGGGGAGGTGTGGGTGATTCGCTGGGGGTAGAAAACCATGTCGCCGTCATCGACATTGCCCAGTTGCCGCTCAGTCTTCAACGCGAACAGACGACAGTCGCGAACAGTCGAGGGTTTCTGGCCGCGATTCCGATTTTCCCGCAGACCCAGCCGACAGATTTAAGGTTTCCCCGCGCTCCAGATCCCCAACAGATATGCAAATACATTGTAGGCGTCGGACCGTCAGATAAGATAAGTCATCCCACTTGTGACGATAAGCCAGGTCGCCGGTAGTACACGGCGAGAAATCAAATAGAAGGAATATCCCGAAACATTCGGTGGGGGTCAGTGAACCGATGCAATGCAGGAACCTAAAGGGGCCAACAGTCCACAGGGTCAGGGTCCGTCCTTGTGCCTCGAGTGGAAGCAGCTCAACTACTACGTGCCGGCTCAGGAGCAGAGCAACTATAGCTTCTGGAATGAGTGCCGTAAGAAACGGGAGCTTCAGATCCTGCACGATGGTAAGACTTTTAGATCCGCAGGATGTATGGTTGTGGGAATGAGACTGATTTGCGGTTTCGCTTCCATTCGATTGGATTTCCAGCCAGCGGGCACATGAAGACCGGCGACCTCATCGCCATCTTGGGCGGATCCGGTGCCGGCAAGACCACGTTGTTGGCGGCGATTTCGCAACGGCTGCGCGGTAACCTGACCGGGGATGTGGTTTTGAACGGCATGGCCATGGAACGGCATCAGATGACGCGCATCTCCAGCTTTCTGCCTCAGTTCGAGATCAACGTGAAGACATTCACGGCCTTTGAGCATCTGTACTTTATGGTGGGTCCTAGAGTCCTAGATTCGAATCCTTCCTCAGCTCGCCTTAACTATTATGTCGTTGTCTTGCCAGTCCCACTTCAAGATGCATCGACGTACGACCAAGTCGGAGAAACGGCAGAGGGTGGCGGACCTCCTCTTGGCCGTGGGATTAAGGGACTCTGCCCACACCCGCATACAGCAGCTCTCGGGCGGGGAGAGGAAACGACTCAGCCTGGCAGAGGAGCTGATAACTGATCCCATCTTTTTGTTTTGTGATGAGCCCACCACGGGTCTGGACAGTTTCAGTGCCTACTCGGTAATTAAAACTCTAAGGCACTTGTGCACCAGGAGGCGCATTGCCAAGCACTCATTGAACCAGGTCTACGGGGAAGATTCCTTTGAGACGCCAAGTGGCGAGAGCAGTGGCAGTAACTCCATCGAAATGGAGATTGTGGGCCAATCCCACGAGAGCCTTTTGCAGTCGATGCGGGAGCTTCCAACGCTGGACATCCTGAACAACAGTCCCAACGGAACGCACAAGAAGGCAGCTATTTGCTCTATCCACCAGCCCACCTCAGATATCTTTGAGTTGTTCACTCACATTATACTGATGGACGGTGGAAGGATCGTCTACCAAGGACGCACTGAGCAGGCAGCTAAGTTTTTTACAGAGTAAGTGGTCAGCTCATCAAAGTATACTCATAACTAGTGCCCTGTTTTTTAGCTTGGGCTTTGAACTTCCCTTAAACTGTAATCCCGCCGACTTTTATCTCAAGACCTTGGCGGAAAAAGAAGGAAAGGAGGATCCTGCTGCGTTAGTCAGAGCCAAATACGAGCATGAAACGGATGGGTTATATTCAGGTAGCTGGCTTCTGGCCCGCAACTATAGCGGAGATTACCTAAAACATGTCCAGAACTTGTGAGTAATCTCAAAAAAGGATCATACTTAAGTCCTTGTTTAAAGACCATCCTCTTTAGCAAAAAGATACGTTGGTATAAGCAGGTGTACCTCTTAATGATACGCTTCATGACCGAAGATGTGCGAAATATAAAAAGTGCCCTTATTGCCTTTGGATTTTTCATGGTGAGTAGCCATAGCGTCTCTCCAATCAAGGATAACCAGAAATACCTCATCTAGATTACGGCTGTTACTCTCTCTCTAATGTATTCCGGCATTGGAGGGCTGACACAGCGCACTGTCCAGGATGTGGGTGGCTCCATATTCATGCTCAGCAACGAGATGATCTTCACATTCAGCTACGGAGTAACCTACATCTTCCCAGCCGCATTGCCCATCATAAGGAGAGAAGTTGGCGAAGGGACCTACAGCCTTTCCGCCTACTATGTGGCCCTGGTGCTCTCGTTTGTGCCCGTGGCTTTTTTCAAAGGATATGTGTTCCTGTCGGTGATATACGCTTCCATTTATTATACACGCGGGTTTCTACTATACCTGAGCATGGGATTTCTGATGAGTTTGTCTGCTGTGGCAGCCGTGGGCTACGGAGTCTTCCTCTCCAGTCTCTTCGAAACTGACAAGATGGCCTCAGAATGTGCAGCTCCATTTGACTTGATCTTTTTGATATTCGGAGGCACCTACATGAATGTGGACTCGGTGCCGGGATTGAAGTATTTCTCCCTTTTCTTCTACTCCAACGAGGCTTTGATGTACAAATTCTGGATCGACATCGACAATATTGGTGGGAAATAGATACCTAATCCAAAGAAGTGTATTATAATCCCCCTATTTTTCAGACTGCCCCGTCAATGAGGATCATCCCTGCATCAAAAGCGGTCTGGAGGTCCTGCAGCAGGGCTCCTTTCGCACCGCCGACTACACCTACTGGCTGGACTGTTTCAGCCTGATGGTGGTAGCAGTCATCTTTCACATCGTATCCTTCCAGTTGGTTAGGCGGTATATTCATCGAAGCGGTTACTATTAAAATTGGGGACACATTTATTATACTAATTTCAGTTTACACTCTTAAAGAACTCGATTTCAGCTTAGTTTCTGTTGTAGTTGAGTACACACGCAATTTAGTTAAGTTAAAATTTGTAATTTTTAAGCACAAAATGTTAATTCTATATCTAAACTTCATTGGAAAATATTGCATTCATCGAACGAGTCGTATAAAATAAATCCCATATAGATCCTATATGCCATTATTGTGAAAAATGTTTTAGTTCAAAAGTAACTAAATATTTATGTAAAAAAAAATCTTGGGCTAGGGCAGAGCGATCTATAAGATCTATACAGAATGTATTTCAAAATTATGTACTTTAAAATTATGTTTGTCTGCCGGTTAAGTCGGTTGGTTTGTTTTCTTAAGAGACCAAGCAGTTTAATAAATTAAGCTAAAACAACCAAAAAATAATTGAAACAAAAACTGCCTACAATGCCAAAAAGCAAGTGAAGAATTTCCGCTCATCAATGAGATTTGATCGATTCTCCTAGTTGTCAAACGAAATCTGTCGCTTGGCCTTTTGTCCAGAACTGTTGCCACTATCTATAGGCACTTGATACTTCCGAGCCGATCCGTTGCTGCTTCCACCACCGTAGTAGGGACTTATGTTCTTTTGGTCCTTTCCGGTAAAGTTCTTCTGCGCTGATCGTCTTAGTTCGCAGTCTACGTTCTCGCGCAGGGCCAAGCCCCCTAGGTTGCTCTTCGACGAACTGTTCTGCAGCGTGGAATTCGGTCGGATAGGCTGCCGCTCCTTGCAGAAGAGATCCTCGGAAATGCGGTCCACCAAACTCGATTGCGTATCTGAGCACGCATTCGTTTGTTGACTCATCTGGCTTAGACCAAATGAATCGATCGAGTTTTCGCTGCCGAACATATTGTGCAAGGAGCGGGTGGAACCTGCAGTTGCCAAACTTCCAGCTGACGCCTGCGACAGTATCATCTTGCGCTGAGCAAACTCTTCGGGACCAATATATCCGGAGAGTCTAGTACTCGACAGTTTCTTCGCCTCACTTTCCTGACTTCTCGCCTGCAGGTAAATATCATCAGCATTCTTTCCCGCAATAACGCTGAAGGCAAACTTCTTGGCAAGCCTGTAGAAAAAAAATGTCCAATAAAGGGAATTAGAGGGATATTTCCAACCCCAATACGCACCGTAGCAATGTTTCACTGTTACTGGTTGTGTGTCCCAGGTAAAATTCCTGGAAAATGCGTTTCACAATGCGCGTAAGGTCCGATGCATATTGACGGAAATTCTCATGCTTGGCAGTGATTTTTCGTTCCTGGAGTGCCTGCGAAACGGCCCACAGAAGTTTCTGCAAGACAATAAAATGTCATTTTTATGGATGTCGAATTGACGGACTAAGCGATGAGGGTTGATTTCTTTTCAAAACTCAATATTAAGTCATTGAACTGAAATGATATTCTTAGATCAAATAATTTACCTTCCGTTGGTTGTCTGTCATGCTGCTGTTCGGTGTTGCGCTCATCTCCGAGTGCGCCCGAAGCAGTTTATTAGCCAGTGGGGTCCCGCTTGAGGAAGAACTCATCAAAAGGCTGCTGCTGCTGCCACTCAGGCCATGACTGAGCCGCGATTGCCCGATTGCAATAGCTGTATGCTGCGCCACCTTAACCTGACTAACTGCCGCGGAGGAACCAGCCCCGATGCAGAAGCTCTGACTCTTGATCTTGAGAGCACGCGGCGTCAGTCCACTGGCCCCGCTGCTGTCAGTCCGGAACAGCTTGCTGCTCTGTCTAGTTAACTCGTCAGTGTCCTCATCATCGCATGCATTCCGTTTCCGCTTCAAAAGTGTCTCGAGCTGTTGACTGGCACCCTGTTTGTCAGGTGAAAACAGAGCCCGCTTTGATCGCTCCACGCGATTCGCCATCTCGGGCTTGAATAGCGGCTTTGGAGGCATAAGCTGTTGCTGCTGTTGAAGCGTCTTGGCGGGACTTTGGAACAGCGCGCGTTTGGAGGTTTCCCTCGACGGCCCTGGCTTGGGGAGATCGGTGCGATAGAGACGCTTGCGGGCGGATGAAGAGGGAGTCTTGCGAGCTGTAGATTAAACATTGGGTTTAAAATGCACTTTGTTATCTTATCTTCTAGATTACCTTTCTTTTTGCTACCCGGAGTCTTCCGTTTGGGGGTAGCCTTTCGTTTGTTACGTGCTTTCCTGTAAAACGAAATTGTTCATGAAATAGTTTATGCTACTTAAGATATTATGCTGTTTACTCACTTCTTATCAAGCAATATTTGTGGTCCAATTGAGCTGTTTAATTTCTGTGAGTTGGTGGCCAGATTTGCCGAAGAAAATATGGCACGCCGCTTAGCCAAGTGACTCAGGCGGTTACCAGGCGATTGCGTCAGCATTCTGTAAGAAATTAGGGGTTACTTAAGATTGCCTAATTAAGTTATCAAGTATATGCTCACTTCATTCGCATGTTTCGCTTCTTGGCACTCGACGGGGATCTTACATAGGACGTGGCTGTTTCTACGCCCACATACCGATCCACCACCGACATGCTGAGATATTCGTTTTGTTCCGAAGCCTTATTAAGATTGTAGCTGAAAAAGATGTTGAAATTACACATAAATTACATTAAAAATATATTTAAATGTAAACTCACCTCAGTCCATGGTGTCTCACGCCTAGAACTTCCCGCCAGCCCATGTTCTTGGCTTCCGCAAGACTGTGGCTAGGACGGAATAAAGAGTTGGTTACACTGATCCCACTGTCCTCAATAGTGGGCGTTGAGGTAGGTTCGTCTTTAGAAAGAAAATTGAGAATGTTCGACTTCAAGTTTAGTACCATTTTGATAACGTCTATGTCGGGTGTAGTGACCGACGGGGGAGGACGCACGCCTTGCAAGCAGCGCCGTATCCTTCTGTAGATTTCCCGTTCCCGCCGACAATTTTCCAAGAAAAATGAGCGCGGATCGTTGGCAGTATACTGAGAGGTGTCCATAGTTTGCTCATCCACAAAGCTTGACTCCGTGGGAGCATTTAAAGAGATGCGTCCGCGCACATCGCTGGTGCACTGTGACTCCTCCAATACTTCGGGCAGATCCTCGAGCCTAGTTGCGGGTTCCTTCTCTGTCTGATCGTCGTTTTCCTCATCATCACTGTCGGCGAATAAATCTGGCGACCGTTCATTGTTATACTTCTGCTGCGATGTGTTCAATGACGTTTCTAATACGGAGGATAGTCGGGATGGCCCTGGTTTTTCCTGGTCATCCGGTTTTTCCGTCAGACTTTTGATTTTGCCATCGAAGGAGAGGCTACCCGTGCTTGTAGTGGCTGTGGGTGCTACGGATACGGCCATGTCCACTGCATTGCAGCTGTTCTCCTCGATGAGAGAGTCGTAAAACCTTGGAAAAACCACCATACCCTGAGAGGGGAGAGGAGCTTCAGGCACCTCCACATCGGGCAACATCAGGTTTTGAAGCTGTGATCCGTAGAGGCGCTTGTTCACTTGACCATAAGGAGTGTCGTCAAATCCACGGAATTCGGATTCCTGGCTACTTAGTTTCTGGGATGACGAAGTGTTACTTTCCTTGGTTGGACGATTGATTTCGTGGGGTTGGCTCAGTGGTTTTGGATTAATAAGATAGGGCAGATTCATGTGCTCCTCGTCAGATATGTGACCCTCGTTGTGTTCACTGAGTGAAGACTGATAAACCAAATTAAATGTTTAGTTCTATCGGAAAAAAAGGTGCATTTAGTTTACCCCGCTTCCTGAGGATGGCTCCGATTCATAGCTGTTGTTTATTTTATTTTTTATAAAGTTTGTGGTGGCCATTCTCTAAATAAAAATAGAATTTTTGTTGTAGTATTTCCATAGATACCTGCCTTATGCATGCGGCATTTTGTACAGGCTGCTCCAATTTTGTAGAGCCTTTTAATTCATAAACTGTGCTTAGAAAAAGAAAACGAAAGTGTAAAAAGGCCAGGCACTGTCGATTTTCTTATCTGCGGCGCATCAATCTTAATGAAAGTGCATTTACCTTTTGGAAATGTGGCACTTTTCCCAGGTGAGGGGAAAACTAAGTAAGGCGCCCAAGCGAAAAACGCGCGTAGATACCGATGTTTTTTTTGCATTTAACGGGTCAAAGTCGCACGCCGCGGACCTCTTTGCGGTTTGAAGTTATGCGTGCGACCCTATCCGGTATAAGTTCATCATCAGCTTTTGTTAAAAATCTTTTAAAGTTTATTTAAATACTTGAATAACACCGATGATAATATGGCCTTTTCTGTAGCGTGAACATCTGCCCTGTTTTTGGCGGTGGGGCTAACGCGTCGTGAAATTGTAATTAGAGATGGGCGATAGTTAAATATCGATTATCGTCTAGTCTTGAAGACATATACATAATTGTTAAAAAAATATGTACTCCAAATAAGTTTTATTAAGTAAAAGGTAAAATATGCGATAAATAACAGTAATATTATTGCATTTAAAAAGACTGTCTTTCACTGTAGACTTTAAAACAATATTTCTCTTGTACTAAATTGAGGCATGATCTAAATATCGTTGCCAGAAACTAGCGCCACTAGTTTGTTGAGCCAACATCGGCGGCCCTGGTAAACAGCTGATTTATGTATAACAACACACAATAACAACAAGCCCTACAATTCGTTAAATCTTTTATCTTTTTCAAGTGGCAGAGCGCGTTTAATCAGTTCGGCCGGCTCCAAAAACCCCACCGATTGCGAAAATCTCATTTGTGCACCAGAAATTAAACCGTACACGCTAAAACAAATTCTTATTGCTTGGCTTTTGACCTTAAAAATTGCGCCAGTGGCCTTATTAAAAACAACAACGAAGCAAAAACCACATAGCCCATGAAAAACGTCTTCCAGGCGAATGCGATGCTATAATTTAATTGCTGCTTAAAAATATGCGAGGAATTGAAGGCAAAGTTGTGGTTCTTGGCTCCCGAGGTGAGTTCCATAGGCTATCTATTTAAATTAATGCCCCTTTAGGTTTCATTCACAAGCGATCCGTAAAATGACAATGGTTGTTGGTATTTCTCAATTGATAAGCACAATTCCTGGGGTCAGCTGATAAGCCAAAGCCTTTTAATCCATGCAAACGAAATCCGGAGACCGGTGGCTGCGCTGAGATGCCTCTGAAAGGCTACAAAAGAAGGCGTGTCTCACAGTCGGAATGTCTGGTTTGAAGGCCTCTTATCTGTTGTTGGAAATACAGTGTGGACTGGCTAAAGGAAACTTTTAAATAAAATTAACGATGCTTTGTTTTAAAAGTATATGGATATGTACATATGTATTCCCATTCATTTGTCAACTTCTAGTCGGCTGTTGCATTTGTAATGTAAACATTTAAATTCGCCTTAAGGCCAGCTAAAGTTTACCTAGGTGTCTAGGTGTCTAAACAAAGATACATATAAGTATATATGCTATGTCATATAAAGTAAGTAAAATTATTCTGCCTTGATCGCCACACAATGACACGCATTGATATCAAGAGCCTGTATGTTCTTCCCTTGAGTAGCAGATGATTCATAAGAATAATGCACCATATGCATTATCCGATTGTCAACAGCCAACTCGGGGAATTCTATACCTCAAAAATAATTATTGTAAACAAAGAGTTTCTGGCCTGTTACGGGTCTTCCCTATCAGTGATTACCTTTCTGGAAAGTGCGTCTTCAATTTTGTTTATTTTGGTATGATTAATCAGTAGTAGGAAAATAATGCGTGCCTTTTGGCGCGTTCATTGAATGAAAGCCGATAAGTTAAGGGGTATTATGGAGGTAACCTATTCAAACAAAAACAATTTGTAATCAGCCGACCATTTGTTTTTCTTTTCAGGCGTGGGCAAGACGCGTTTGGTCATCCGCTACATAAAGAACACCTTGCACCGGAGCGAGAACGAAGTACCCACGATAGCTGTGTCCTTCTTCACATGCAACATCTTCCTGGATGAGGTCAAAATTAAATTGCAAGTGCGTATCCCAGCAGCATATGTAATAGTCAGTGCACACAACTCTTTCAGAGCCTTGTCAAATGAAATTGCCTCGTAAAAAAGTGGAAGCCGTGGGGCGAAAGCAAAGCCAAAGGAATTTGCCTTTGCCCCAGGCTAGCATACCCACTAATCCCATTTGGCAGCCTGGCTGCCGGAAGGGTGCTGGGGCCAAACGCTAATCTGGGTTTATTCTGCTGCTGCCACTGAAAGAGTGGCCCTCTATTTGTCCACTCCGCCCCAATGTTTTGGTCACTTTATTTGTTTTTTATTTTGCAATTTTTGCGTCCACTGCACTTTGTGTGTTATTTGTTTATTTTTTTGAGCGCATACTCTTTTTTTTATAGTTTATTGATAAGCTAAGCATGGGCGGTAACAGTAGCTTCTCCCTTTTGATAGGGTTACCACCCACAGTGCCCTGTCTAGCATATTTTCTCTTGGGTGATTTCGATTTTATATGCAACCATATAATAGTGGCCACTGAAAAAAACAAGACTCTGATCCTGTACGACCCGAACTAGTTGTACCCTTTGTATGTTTTAAATCAAGGTGATTTAGGAGTATCTTTCTTTCAAATCTTAAGACTTTACTTATCTGAAAAGTTCAAAATCATTCCAGCAAGTATAATTCCTATGAGAAATAAAAACAATTGCTGTCATATCAATTATTCAGAATATATAACTTTAATATATATTTTAAACATTACAAATGTTTCTCCCTAGAATGACCTTCATTCATCCCGAAAGTGTCATATTCACTAGACCAACAGAAGCAACCGTCTGAGCACAATGGATTTGAATACATAATGGGATATTGTATGCGGATTTAGCTTGTTTGTTTCGCATTCGTGAATTCGCAGCTCTTTGTCTCGCTGTACGGTTCTTGTGCGATTCGATTTAGTTTCGCCAATGAACATGTCGTTGCCCCAAAAATTTTTATGAAGCCCTTGAATGGGAAAACGCATAAAGATGAGTGTCCATATCCCCCAACCAAGAAGACCTGAGAAGCGTTGCCCACATCCAATATGATTGTTATTGCTGTGGGAAAGCGCGGCCATAAAAAGCACAATTGTAGAATAAGCGTTGAATGACTCAATTAAAGTTCAAGTGGCGGACGAACTCTAACCACACGGTACTCTTTATTTGCAGATCTGGGATACGGCTGGCCAGGAGAGATATCGGGCAGTGGCGCCCATGTATTATCGAAATGCCAATGCTGCCATATTAGTGTTCGATCTTACCCAATATAAAACTTTTACGGAAATCAAATCGTGGATACAGGAACTGCATCGCAATGTCCAGGATCCGATGATATTGACGCTGGTGGGCAACAAGATGGACATGCAGGCCCAGCGTGCGGTTTCCCGCGATGAGGCTTTCGTGTTTGCCACCTCCATCGGGGCCACCTACTTCGAAACTTCCACGGAAACGGACCAGGGACTGGAGCAGGTCTTTCTTTCGACGGCTCTGGGATTGGTGCGGCTGGCGGACGAGGGCAAGAGCCATTCGTTACGTTCCTTCGAGTCAAGCGATTCGCTGGCCTACACCAACACCAACACTGCCTTCAGTCATACGGTGGCCGCATTGTCGAGGAATCCTGCAAACGCTTCATTTCGGCTGCCCTACGTGGATATTGGTCTAGCCGTGGATGGTGAGGATGTGAAGACAACTGGAGTGGGTCGTTTGGAAACGGCAGCCTGGAGTATCGAGCACATTGCCCTCGGCGAAGTGGAGAGGCCCAGCTGGTGCTGCTATTAGTAGAAGATCCCTGAGATCCTAAAACTCATCTCAAGCAGCCCAGCTGCTGTGAAACGAAAGAAGGAAAATAACAATGTGATGTCAACAGAACCAGACTTTAGTTCGAATATCCCAAGAATCGTTTAAGCAATCTATACGCAAAGACCAAAAGCAGTCGCCACAAAAGCAAACAGCAAGCTTGGCTTGAAGCTATGTATTAATACACTGACTAGGCTAGTGAGCGGATTTTGCTCGATCCACTGACAAGGCGCCCGGAGTAACCGCTACATCAATATAATAATAATTCTAGAACCCTAAGTGTATACAGCAATTGCCGCGTGCAAATTATGACTTTGTATTTCAGTCGCTTTAAGCTCATTTTTGACCTACCAGTCGTAGGATTAACCCACACAGCCCACTCACAACAAAATCAAACAACACAGGGAACAACACAAACCAACCTACACTCATTCACAAAAACACCAATTCATGTACAAAGCATTTTATACTGCATGCATATATATATATAAATCTAAACGTAATAATGTATTCAGAGTGCTTTGTCATTTCGGGGATGGCACGCCCCCAGTGTCGAATCATCGGGCTAACAGCGCTGCAAGTGCATTAACTTGGCCATTAACGCAGCAACTTAACATGTAATTGGAATTTAATGCCCTCATAACAAAGCCAAGGGTTACAATTGTATTGGCTTTTCCAGCTCCGAATGCCTTGGCATTAGCTTGGCTTTCAGTTGGGGCCCCCCGTCGGAGCGTGACCTGGTATTGTTATTAACCCCGTTGTGGTACTTGGGGGCACTAAGATGAACGTGTGCTTTAGATTAAGAAAGCTTTTTTGGCAGTAAAATGGCTAATGAGTTTGGGATAATGTCAGCAAGGATAATGGATATAAATATATGTAGGATTGACCACGAGCTATTTATCATTTCAAAATGAAATTTCATTATTCTGTTTTATTTTGGTGTGTGGGAAGCTACACAAAAATAAATCTTAGGAAGTGAACATCAAAAGCAATAGACAGACAGTCTAATTGATATAAAATCAATAAAATCCCCTTGGCCAAATGCTGGCACAGAATCCAATAATAAAATGTACCATGCCCCTGGAACTCGGGTTCGAAATTGTTTGGCCATCAGGAGGTTAAATTGAATAGCTAAATGGCCGCTCGTCAGTGGAGCCAGGACCAGGGATGACTGACTGCCTGGCCTGGCAAGTTCATAAAGCACCGAAAGCAACTTTAACGATTAGCTAATATACATAACTTATGGTCAGTTGAATCCTTATGTATAAATAATATGTGCAATTTAGCGTAAGGCGCCTCCAAAACAAGAACAACAAAAAACAAGTCGGCAAAGGACACCACGAAAACTCATTCAAGTGTCATCAACGCGTTTAGCGGACAGATGGCTGGATGATTCAGTTTGGTTGGTCTTCCGATATATGGAACTGAGAGAACTGGACTTCCTGGGGGAGATCGGGATCAGTTGTGGTTCAGTCGGCCCATTGATTTACCATTAGGCCGTGGCAAATGAACCACTCGTTTGTCTCTTTGCCGGGGCACTCAACCGGAAGTGATGCTCACACACGCATACGCCGAGGGTGTTGCCATGCCTGACAGCGGTATATAAGTGTGTGGGTGTAGATGCCTGGCAGATATCCTTGACTTATACCCACACAGAAACCGACACAAAACTACCTCAACATCTTGGCTCTCGGCTAATGGTGTTTAGACGGCTTAATGATGTAGAAATGCATCAATGTAATCAAGGTAGGACAGCCTTAGAAGGAGCAAATATGCCACAAACGTATATAGTATATGCAAATATATGTAGGGCTTGCCACAAAAGTGACAGCCTGCCGGATGTTCGGTCGAAGGCTTGATGTCCGTATCAATTGCTTATTTCAGACGCCTGTCATAAGCTTCTCTTTTGGGTTGACATCGAAAATTATCCATTAGCATATCGTAATTTTGATTGATTTTGCTAATTGTGGTGTTTAATTTCGAAGTTACAATTCAATAGCTGATGGACGGGTTACATTTTGAGGCTATGTCTATGTTTGTTAAGAGGTTTATCTCTAACTTTAATCCAGCTTTTAACTTTATTATATATTATTAAAATGTGCAAAGCTCTTGTAACTTTGTCCTCTAAATCAAAAAAAAATATATTGTTTTCAGGCTTTATCTCTAATATCGCAGCTCTCTCATGAAGCCATAGCACATAGGTTTAAGCCCTTGACTTACTAACCGTTGACAATTTGATCTCAATTTATATATGCAGATTTATGTTTGTTTTTAATTCGTCCCGCGCATATATAACATGGCAAAACATAGCGTACATATAAATTCAGTTAGTTAGGCGTCAATTGCTGATGTCAGTCGGGGCCATGGCAGTTCCATATTTTTATATGGACCATGCATATAAATCGAATTACACGTCGTTTTGGCATATTTACGACCCCTCTGCAAATACAAATCCATACATATATTTGCAAGTCTGCCAGAGAGTGTGTGGGTATGCGGATGTGGGTGTGGTATTGGGAGTGTGTGTCGGTAAGCGTTGGAATGTCAAATCTACTAAAGTTCTCAATGCCACATAAATTGCTGGCACATCCACACAAATCAAGTATGCAAACGATGAATCGTCTCTGTGTGTGTGTGTGTGTTGTGAGTGTTTTAGTGTGCAAGGTACTTGTACAATTTTCTCTTTTGTTCCTGTATCCTGCATCCTGCCGTGGCACTGCCAACGAATCCAGCCACGCTGGTCATGCAAATAATTTTGAATATTTATCAAGCGCCTCGTCCTGGGGCTGCCCAGTGTTCACGCTTCTGATGCATACTTTATGGCGCACCGTGTGTGTGTGTCTGTGTGGGTGTATGGGTGTACTGGAAGCAGCACTAGTTGGCATTGTTAGAGATTCAGTTGAACTTCCACTAACCTGACCAGCAAATACATCATGCCCCAGCCATCGACATTTAAGCTCCCAAACTCACATGCACCATCGCATCCGGCATGTACGTACAATTGTACGAATATTCCGCCGCAATTGTCGCAGAACAGCAAACAAATTGATTTTTTTGATCAAGATAACATCAAATTGAATTTCCAGCATTCGAAATCAAAGAGACTAGCCTAGGGGATAAATATTTTATTTGTCACACACACGTGTTGTATTTTTATTTAATTAAATATCGTTTCAATTTCAGCGGCATAACCATAGAATATTGTTCCCATTTGTCAATTTAACAAATTAATACACTAATTATCAGCCATTTGACGATGTAACAGTGGCAGAGTTAAAGGCAAACAGACAAGGCGAATTTATGCTCCTGCTAGAGATTCCTTAAATGCCAAGTACCCGGCTGCTTGGCTGCCAGGCTGGATTCAAGTCGAACAGCCCGGCAGATGCTGAAAGCAATGCAGCGACATGGAAAATACCACAGCGGCGGATGCATAGACGCGCACACTAACGCAAAATCAAATACAGACACAGGAGGCACGAGGGCCGGAGGGACTGACGAGGACTGGGACGAAAACGAAGGACACAAAAAGGATGCTGCTGCTGAGGCTGAAGATGATGGCGCTGCGGGCAAGTCGTTTGAGTTTGAGTTTGAGTGTCGTCGTGTCTGTCCCAAGCTCAAATCCCGAATGCATAGACAGCTGCTGCTGTTAGTCCTGTCGCTTTTCTTCAACACTGAACAAAAAAAGAGTTTTTTTTAAAAGCAAATAAATGATCTTAGTTCCTTAGCTTAAGGAATGAGGAATGAGCTTAGTTTTCATAAGTTCCTAGCACTTAACCCACTTATTTCCTATATCTTTTCCCTTTTTTTTTTAAGTCAAAAGACAAAGAACAATAATACCTTACAGTGCTGCGGCTGGCGCTCCTATTTGCCCAAAAAGGCAATCCCAGCCGAGGGAAATAAGGGCCAAGAGCAACCTAGAGCTACAGAGAAGACAAGGCAAATCAAATGCAATTTAGTCTCATTTTAATTGAGCTGCCCGGCCAATGTCTGGGGTCTTTAAATTTATTCCCACAAAATAAAAATGAAAAACTGAAAAAAAATTCCCCCAGAGTTATTTATGGGAAAGCTAGTCAGAGCATAAAATGGGAAACTATTTGATTTGCATTTAATTTAATAAGTGCTGCGATACTGCCAATGCAAATGAAATTGTTTAGCCGTAAATTGTGGGGAAATCCGCATTGACCGAAATGGAAGTTACTGCGGTAGTCTTGAAATTTCCGTAAGTAATCTATGGCAATGCTGGTTTTCTGATAAAACCGCGGGGTCTGGTTCCTCGTAAGACGATTTATCATAATTTGCAAGCAAATTACTTCTTCCCCATGCCCACCGCCAGATGGCGATGCTGTATTGCCAACTCATGTTGCCAATTTGCACTTTCAGGTAGAGAAATAGGAACGGCGGCTGAACAAATATGGCAGCCATTAAACAGATAAGCCACACACTGCCATAAAAGGTACACCCACTCAACCCGAGGCATAAAGTGCGTGCTGGGGTGTATGTGTGTGAGTGGCAGGCATAAGGACACAATTTGTCTGGACAAACACCAGCTTGGCTTTGTCTCTTCTATACATATTTTTTTCCCCATTTTCCCTGGAAATAGAAATAAAGTAACTAGAATTTTGGTAGTGATTTGAATATCAGGACTATGTGATACCCGGTACTCCTTATTCCCATAAAAACATTTCCTTGGCAGTTGAGTGAATTATGGATTTGGAACTATGGTACTTAATTTCATTTTCCATATTCAATAAAGTGCAGATTCATTTTGTTTTTCACATTTTTCCAGCAGGATTATGGACAGCTGTGAAATGAATATTACAATATTGATTGCATCCAAAACAGACTGCTTTATTAAAAAGAGAAATATTAAAAAAGGATGTATCAAATATATTCAAACATAATTGGTCGCCTATTCTCATCTATTTTCCCGTATATCCTCTTATTTTCACCATCACTTTGGGAAGCTGTCATAAAAATTGTGAGATGTCACCGCCATATGAGTGTGCGCCATTTTTGTGCTGCCGACACTTTTGCATTGTGTTTATGCTGTCACCTTCTATTCGCCCCTTTTAATGTCCTGGATCCTTTTCCCGCTTCCCACGAGCCAAGCCCTCATCGTCTCCCCCTCTGTCATAGCCTTTTGGCATTTTTAATTGTTTACCTGCACCACAATGGATGGACAATTCTTTTGTTCTTCTCCCCCAATTCGATGCGATTCGAGAGTGCTCGACGAGAAAATGAAAAGAAAAATCAGGAGCGAAAAATAAAAAACTTTCAGGCTTGCCCTGCAACAGGTTCGAGGTCAAAATCGAAATCGACGGGAATTAAAATGGTCTGCTGGTCGGGCTAAAAACTTTAAAAGCTCGAGGGCCAAGGACCTCCGATTCGTCCTCTCTGGTCCCTGGCAAATTTCGACTTGGCTGATTTTCCGGCACACATCATTTGTCTGCTGACTGGGCAGGAATGAATCTGCATTTATTTTCCAACTGGGGTGGTCAAGCATATCAACTCTTTCCCCCCTTTTGTATGGACTTTCATGCACATATTTTCTTACTGGCCCGAAAATCGAGTACAATCGTGACTCTGGGGGGCCATGTGGGCATGAATATAATTTCGGGTTATGGCCTGTTCGGGGGCGTATCGGTAAACATGGAGGAGCTATTAAAAGCCCCACCTTGTCCCAGTTGCCCGGTTGCCCACTGTACAAGCAATATTCTCATACCTTGGCCGGCTTCTTTGTCTTCGGACTTAATGTTAATCCTGTGTCCCGGGGTGCACGAGGTAATGAAAGGGATGTGAAGATGGCCGGCCTGTTGGGCAGTTGGTCAGTGGGCGGTGCTGACGTTTGACATTGACTGGCTGATAATATAAATATCATTGTTGCTTGCACATAATTAAGTCTGACAGTCGACGAAGCTCTTTAGCAAACCGCATGACCCACTGTGGGGCAAACTACTCATTGACAAGTCTGTTGTTTGGATAAAATTCCCATGTCTTACTAATTTTAAAAATGTATAAATATGTCACAGAAAAAAATCATTATATATATAATGTGATAATGAGTAAATTCAAATTATATTAGTTATAACTAGGTTTCATTTCTCATACGCCATGTGTGCATGTATTATTGAGTTAAAAACTGCAAAGAAGCATATTTCTTTTGTGACTAAGCCACTTGATTACTAATGCGGATTATTTTAAAGAGCTCCAGAATACGTTTGCTTTTCATAAGCCATTAGTAGTTGATTTTATTCCATTTAATACCCACTGTATGAAACTTGATTGTGTTTTTAGTCCAGCTGCCAACTGGGGCTGACTTTATGTGTGAGTGTGAGGCGAGTGAGCCCTCTTGGTCGGTGATTTCCGAGTCCTGAATCCTGTAGGGCCTAATGCGCCTAGTGCCAGCTTCTGTTGGCTTTCAGCTTTGGTCGCTAATTAAGCCTGTTTATCGAAGTAAGTTAGCTGTTCAACTTTCGCTCCGTAGCCTTTTATCCATCCAACATCCTCCCTCCTTGTGTTCAGCTGAGTTTAGTTTTATCAGCTAACTAGCTTGGCTATCTGCATGTGTGAGAGCTGGGGGCTGGGATCGTAGGGCATTTGAAGGGCTCTTAAGTGCAATAATAAAGCGATTCTCGTAAATGCCGCAAAGCCTTCAACTTCGTCTCTAATTGAGTAAATTATCGAGGGAAATGAAAATGGTTTGCTAGATGCGAGCGAAAATTCTGCGGTATTGTCACACAGAAATCATTTGCCATATACACACATATATAGTACACATCCTTTGAGGTTGTTTCGTAAAGTCTGGCTGTAGGTCTCCCTGTGCATCAGGATTAAAAGAAACCCTCAACTGATGTAGACATGCCCTTAAATGTTGCGGTTTGCTTTGCCAACGACAGTTAGTTGGATGTCAAACCTAATTAAATGGAACGGAAATGTAACCAAAATTAAATATCGTCATGGTCAAAGCAATTAGGCTAATATATCTCGGCATGGAAACCAAGGTGTCTTCAAACTCTCAATTTGGCCACAAAAGTTCGGGGCTCTTAAAACGGTTTTTGAACGAGACCTCTTGGGGAAAGTTTTCGTCCATCGTGCAGTTTATTTGCTTCATTGGAGTCTGTAACGGCTAACACGAATTTTGTACGACATTTGCCGAAATAAATCGCCCTCCAAACGCAACTTTGGCAAAGTTCAACAACAGGAAAATTGAATCATTTCTCTGTTTTAAATTGTCTGCATGTCGTTATCTGACTCACTGGTATTTTTCTCATGTTCCTAAATTTGCAATTTAGTTATATGCGTTGCTCGGCTTGCCTGATAAAGCAAAAAAGCTGTAAACATGAAGTAAAGGGGAAAAAATGAATGAAACTATTTCCGCCTCATTGGTTGGCAAATATTTGCAACATTTGTTTGCCTGACAGAGTCGAACAGAGATGGGTATGAAAAGATTCCCCGAACCCCATGACATTTGTGAATAGATTGTGGAAATGTATATTCAAATGCCGTGCACCGGGGCGTATGCTTATTAATATTATTACAAAAGGATTCTTTATGTTATTTTGCAAAGTGAAACGTAGGAACAAAAAAATATAATTTAACCTGAGTAGCGGGGTCAGCCAAATTCCAGTCTGTGTGTCATGGCAATACATACAAACAAGAAAAAAAAAGGATTTCATCCTGAATTTGCAAAAATTCCATTCAGACAATTGAACTCAACTAAAGTGCTCAAAAGTTTTCACACAAACCCTGAAACCCTGAGTGAAACTGAAACTGAAGCCAAACGGAATCTGCCATGAAATGCTGGCCAAACAAAAGGCCATGAATCAAGCTGAAGCCCAGGACCTCTGACCAAACAGTGATACCCGTTTTGGCCATGGAGACATATGCCAGGGGAATCTTCCTGTCCCTGCCTCATATCCCTTCCTCCTCTTCATCTCTAACTAAAAGTGATTTGCACTCTCGACTTTGTTGATGGTCCTGTGGATAAATGTTGGTCCTGCATTGACGAACTTGTTGGACACAGAAACCATTCCCCTTGGCCACCTCCCGTTTCCCCCATTCTTTCCCCATTGTTTTGTGTTGTTTGTCAGAACTAACTAATGACTGAGAGGATTATCCTTCCTCTCTCACCAGGCATCCTGTTCGTTTTGCATATGGCATTTATGGCAACCGATGTGGGGCGCATCAGGTGCATAAGTCACATGGATATCATCGAGGGAAGTATCCTTGTTGAATTATGATTAACCATTTATGGAGCGCACATCGTAGGGTTTATTAGATAGTATGTAAAATTATACCTCCAGAATGAATGCAATTAGAATAAAACTGGAAATAAAATCAGCAAAAGTATAAGTTTATTCTAAGAAAAGGCGCAGTTTATAACAAAAAGGCCCATGTGGGTTTTAATACATGTATGTACATATGTAAGACAACACTGAGAAAGATGTTTGCCTCGTGTCTCTTCTGATAAGTTTGCAAAAATGCTCAAAACAAATTACCCTAATTGGACTGATAATAAGTGATGCCTGTTGTCAGAACTAGCTATGGCTATATAAGCGAGTTGGAAGTCTTCAGTCCGAGCTATATTCAAAACGAATTTCGGTCAGTTAAGATATCGACATGAAGATCCTGACCATTTTTGGCCTCACCATGGTCATTTTCGCTTGTCAAACGTTGGCAGCTGAGGAAGACCTCGAGGATGATGAGGAAGTTGATTGTCCTCCTGATGACAATGGTGGCGACACATCTGGTAGGGTATCGGATAAACTGTGCCCCGATTTCCAACATTTACGAAGCTTGATGGATCAAGAAAAACTCCAAAAGCTGATCCAAGTGCATTACAACTGCGATGGAAAATTCCGAAAGGCTATGCGCTACTATAACACTACTGGATTCGAGCAGGTCACTCAGCAGCTGTCCGACACCGATGCCTATCAGACCATCCTGAGGGAGTTCGAGAACGCCAGTGTGTATACTGTGGATATTGAGAGCGTGGCCGCAATCTTCTACTGCATCATCCTTCCTGTACAGTTTCCGGATAACGATTGTGATTGCAAGTCGATCAGAGGTCATACCTTTGTCAACGATGTGCTCGACTTGATGCCCCAAATCGAGGTTCACAACTATATTGCGGCTTCCCAGGCCAACGGCACAAACTTTGGAAATTTCACAAAAGCCGTCACCTCGAAGGAGTTCCAGGCCACTCTGAAAGCCAATATTGTGAGTAGATTTCTGTTTACTGTCTATTTTTTGAATATGGTTTCTAAAAATTTCTATTTTAATGTTGTAGAACAAGAAAGATGTGATTAAACCTCTGCGCACTCTACGCCGTAAGGGCTGGGATATTCCGGAACTACTCAAGGGCATGCAGACCATTTTCACCTGGTGACCTGGGCCAATTGAAACTGAAGCCTCTCGCTTTTATATGTAAACCAAATATAGCAACAAGTGAATCCGAACAGCTCCACATGGGGCACTCATTCTTTCGTGTTTGACACCTGGGCTGGGAACTTGAAAATAGGCTGTGTGGGGGAGTGGACAACAGAAGGATATACTGCCCACTGTGCCCGGCAGGACGTCAAAAGTTTTTCGATGGTCCTTTTCAGCTCGCTTCGTTTATAATTGTCAGCAATTTGTAACTGCAGCGGAAGTGTCAGAGAGAAACGGAAGGAAGGATTCGTGTTGGAGATATTTAATCGACTTTCTCTTTATTCCCTGAATACTTACTCACAGTTGGTTATTTAAAGGTCAATTTTAACAGGGGAACTTTCAAAGGATTTCCATTACTGGCATAGATTCGTGGAATAAAGCTGTGACTTTTAATTAAAGTCCTGGGACACTTATGTCAAAGTATGTGAAATAGATTTCCTTAGAATCTTATTAAATTGCAAAGCTAATTGAAGCAAATGTTTTCCTCAAATGGTAATTTATTTTCCATTTGTCACTTTGGTGCAATATTAAACCATTCCACGGATAGTTACTCCCACTTTGGCTCTAAATACCCATTTTTGGCAAGTCCCAGCTGGGTATTTGATTTGCCATCTATCTTAGGAGCATATTTGGGTCCTTTTGGGTGGGAAGTGGCTTATTGAATGGTTATCACAAAATTTCTGGCCGCTTGGCGGCACTTGGCAAACGAATTAAGACTCGTTACACTTTCATTGCTTGCGCTCAATTTACGAGCTGGCAGCTGTCGCTAGGAAGCTCCTGCCATAAGGACTGCCTCTGCCACCTTTAACAAGGACTCGCTCTCTCACTTTCTGTGTACCTTACCTATGCAATCGTGCAATTTGAACGGCACAAATGCCTGCTCATAGCAATTGATTTATGCCTGCGACGTGACTTCATTTCGTAGCAGGATTCGTAGGACTCGCAGGCAGGAGGACGGTGTACCGCACCTGTTGTCGCCTTGCCTCTTATTAAATTAACAAAGTAACAACCCCACTGCTCTGTGGGTGTTTGTGTGTACTGCTGGGCGGGCGTGCTTATCCTTAGCAGGCCAAATCCGATGCCATTATGCATTATAACTGTATAAACAAATCGTGTGCGTGCCACCGCCTCCCCAAAATACGTGCCTCCTCTGCAGGATAACAGGAGGAGTGAAAAAAACCAATTCCTCGGCCTACGAGTCCCCCGGCTCGTGTGTCAATCAAGTTAAATGTTAATGAATTACTCGGCATCCGAACAAGGACATGCTGACAGGACGAAAGCGAATGATGCCGACAAGTTGTTTTGCCTTTAACACACTTAGGCCGACGGTAGCTGCTTCTTGTGGTTTTTTTGGAATTAATATCCTAATCCTGCACAGTGTGCCTAGTCGTAGCGGGTCATTTTAATTTTTAAAAAAACACAAGAACTGGTGGATTTCTGTAGTTTTGATATCTGTTTCAATGAAAGGACTAAATTATTTGTTTTTTTTTTTGGGTATTTTTCAAGTCGAACCTCTCTGGCACTCCAATTACTCTCGGTGATGGTCAAAATGGTGAAATGTTTGGCCATCTACTTGTGAGCCACAACGTCTGCCTGTCTGCCTGTCTGACGTTTTGTTTTTTTTTTCGTTCGTCCTGAGGGACGAAACAAATCGTTGCATATTTTCGTGAGCCAGCCATTTCAGCTTTTGCAAAAGCTATATATGTATATACAATATATATATATGTATATATACACATTGTGATTTTTACGGGGATAAATGCGGGCTCTACGTGTCATTGAATTCATTACGCTGTCAGCTGGCTTGTTGGACGATGTAGTAGATTAAACCGCCAGAAAAGCCAAACAAAAATAAATAAAAAAAACGTCCAGGAAAAGCATTTTCTGATTTTTTTTTTTTTTTCTGAATTTTCATTCAGAAATGAAATAGTTAATTACCATAAATTTCTATTCACATTCCATATAGCATATGTATAATATTTACACAAATTCATCAAAAAGTCATAGGAGTTTGGAAATTAAACACTTTTTTACCCACGAAGTGTTCTTCTACATCAGAAATAATTGAACAATTTGTTAATTAAACATTATAAATGAAGTTATAACCTCTCAATAAATATTTATTTGAATAAAATAAAGCTTACATTAAATAATATAAAGAGCCCTTAAGCCAATTTCTAACGGAAAAAATTTCACCAGAAGCTAAGCTACAAAAAAAGGCAAAACTAATTAACGAAAATGAGGCCTGTGGTTTACCGAATTAAAAATCCTTGTTGACCTGTAATTGACTCTATAGGTTTAACATAATTTGAAAACCCAATTATAATTTTAATTGAGCTTTAAAACCTTTTCTACTTAAAATATAAAATAGATTTTGTAGGATTAAATAAATGCAGGCTCCACAAGTTGTCTACAAATGTCTCGTTGCCAAGGGAAAAGTGCAATTGAATCGTGTATCTCTGCCAATTGCTGGCCAGATTTGCTTTAAAATTTCATTACAGTAACGAAGGGATTCTCTTGAAATAAATGCAATTTAAAAGTTGATTGATTTCTACCAACAAGTGCAAGTTCCCAGCTCACCAAGGACTTCAATGGAAACAAATGGGAAAATCATTCAGAGTTGCTTTCTGCACGGAGAATGCGAAATATTTTAAGGATATCCGCAGGCTGATCTGCTGCCACAATCTGGTCATAACTACTATTCGATTTCTATTACTCACTTTGGGTAGATGTAAGTATTGGGAATTCGATCCGTGCTGAAATGTGCTGAAATAATGTGTTTCGTTGATAAAACTTTTCCCCCTCAATGCTCCCATAACAGTTCAGATTTATGGTCGGAGCTATCAGTGCTCCAATAAGTTCCCTTCGGCGAAATCGGTAAGTGAAACTGCACGGGCCACTGGCCATAAATAAATTTTTCGTCGTAGTATCGGCTGGCAAATCTCATTACCCGGACACTCTCTGGGTCCTTTGGCGTTGGGTCCTCTGGCGATGGATTTGTACAGTTGTCCAGTTGAAATAAAAACCGAATCCAACCGAAAATCAGCTTATCTGTAGCCGCCGATTGGCCAACACAAGTGCCATCTTCAGTCGCTGATAAATTATAAATTTCAGGAGAAGATTTCCAAGTGGCCATTCAATCGGCTTCGCACTTTTAACGAGAATGCTTTAAGTGAATATTGCGGCTGGCAATAATATATAAATTAATGGCCTCCACATGGTGTGTGGACGAAAAAAAGGATATAAATCCTGGAAGGATACGGAAAAACATCGTTTGCTGGAAGGGCCACCAAAAATGGAAGACAAATATTTTTTTATATTAATGAGTTGGTTCAATTCAAGAAATTATTTTCATGTAAAATGATTGAATATACTTAAAAATTCACTAAAATATAGTTCAGGGATTAAAAACTAAAGTGCAGCTGATAACTTTTATGGTTTAAAATCACTTTTGGAAAATATTCTGTAAAATTTTTCGTAAAGCCATTTAAAGTGTTTAATCCCTATGATACCTGCAGGTGAAGTGCCATCAGTTATTTGCCCCAGATATGAATTATTATCCAGCTTAAATTTGCAGCAAACTTAATGGCCGACTTAAATTCCATAAATGTTTAACAAGAAAAACGGCAAATAATTGGCATCACGCCAGAACAATTTTCGCAAAAAAAGCCATAAGAAGAATGCCGGCTAAAAGGCCAGAGACAATGGCGAGGAAACTGTAAAGTCTGATTTGAACACTTCCTCTGGCACAAGGACATGTATAAGTAATTATAATGAAATTGGAAATTTTTGGCCGAAATGATCAGCTCTTCTTTTTTTGCTTTCCATGCAACGACCACTAACACCAGCACCACTAAGCCAACAAACAAAAAGTCCCATTCATTGGGGCATTGAAATAGTTTTTGGCCCGGAACAGTTGGTAAGATGAGTTCAAGTTTGGCAACTCCTGCCAGCAGGAATATTATTATTTTTTCTGTTGACTCTTATCTCAATGCCTCGGCTCTCAACTAGTTTCCCTGGCGTTGGGAAAAGCGTTCTACCCAACCACTCTGCCCCTCGGCCATCTGGAAAGTAGCCATGCGGGCGTTGCTTTTCCTAACCAGCGCAAATATTTTAACCTACAGGCCAGGACACAAAAAAGTAAAAAAAAAGAAACCATGGGGAACAGGGCAAGCAAATAAATGTTTTCGAGATAAACTGGAGCTTTGTGTGTCGTTTTGGGTGCTCGCTCTTGCAGATTCCCCTGTCCAGCCCGCACACAAGCCACCCTGCCCAACCTCCACCCTAAAAGTGACCTCTTAAAGCCACAACGCCCCCTTAAAGCGTTTGGCACTTTACATGCAAAACGTTAAAAATTTTGCAGCATGCCTCGTGGCGTTCGACCGATGCGGCGCGATGTCCTATTCGGACTCTTGCCCCGTTTATATGTTGCTACGTGACTTTGGCACGCGTCGCGTTTCGTCTGCGGACCCACGGTCATTTTCCATTGTTGGTCATTAATTTGAAGGCAAGTGTGTTTGGGGTTTGGCCAGGGCGAGGGGGCTAAGATGGGCAGGGTCGGGACGGGTCCGGGCCTTTCGTCACCAAACCGCACACGTATATTTTGACGACCCTAAAGCGGTAACAGGGTGACCAAGAATGGATTTGATCCGGTTTGTCGGACGTTAAGGTAAAAATGTATGTATTTTTAATAAGTCTTATTTAATTTTTTAGTTTCGTTTAGTTTTTTTTCATAAAGAAAGCAGCCATAAAACTTAAAAAACCCTATTTTAAAAAATATATAAACATTTTAAGTAGGAAGTGTTTTAAGTTAAATTTTAGAGATAAAAGTCTTTACATAAACAGAGTTAAAGACTTACTAATCCTTTTAGTAACTCTTTAAATTTGATTATTGCCAAAGATGCTGGGATACCCTGTATATCAATTTACTATGGAAACCACTTTGTCATCCGACTCACGTACAGGACACACGTATGCCAGGCAGTCCTCTGAAAAGGATTGTCCACGCTTTTGGTCAAGTTTGCCGCCC